CGACATGGAAGATGGAGATCGAGGTATTTGCCCGCATCTGTTTTTGCGATCCTCCCGTTGAGGCGGTCCCCCAGGCCATAAGCGAAACCACCACCACCATCACCACCCACCAACAGCGGCAGCGTTAGAGGCCATGTCTGTATTTTTCAGGAGATGGGAGGCACGGAACGAAATGACAGGAGAGGAGAAAACGAATTCCCTGCAACTCTCTCAAGCAGCACAGCGGCCAGACGGGACGGCCCAGACGCTCAATGGCTTCTCCCGCTGTGACTGCTGGCAGGAAATGGCCGACAATATCCACACGCCCTCCCAAGCAGGCAGGCTTTCCGGCCAAGGGATCACCAACTAGGCGTCAGTTATCAACGGACAATACCAAACAAATGCTCCGGTCTCGTGCATCTGGCTTCTCGCCTGAGCGAGCTGCATGTCGTGGCGCGGCAAGACAGAGCGGACTGACGAAGCAACGCGCGTCTCCAATTTTTTTTTCACTCGATCAGGGGCCGTTCTTCGGTCCCGGCTTTGCTATTGTTGTATTCATGGATGCAGGAACGCGAGCTGTAGATGGCTCTTGCGCTACGCTCACCGGCCGGTTCGCTTTTTCTTCTGTCTGCTCAATGCTGATTCCTACTCCCAGCCACTGCGCTCAGATGCAACTGAGGGCGATCATGACGTATCAAGCGGAGGAGAGAGAAATGTTTGCCTGTTCCGCGTGGATACGTTGAAGCGGTAAAAAACCTGCAACCGTCGATGTGTTGAAACTGTCTTCACCGTCAATGACCGAACATGAATGTGTCTCTAGCATCATGGGCACGCACGAGGGGCTCTCTTGTTGGGAGGTTCTTTCAATGTCGATGCTACCGCCGTATCTTTCTGTCATTTTTTCTTTGAGACTTTTAATCTCTTGCTCCCTTACAGCCTATCATTGGGGCGGAGAGATGACATATGTCATAGTGACTGCAATATTCTCTCGAATGAGTCGCGTTTCTCCCAGTCAGTACCAACTGAAGCCATACTGCGGTGTGATTGCGGTACACTCGCATGAGTACTGTCCACGCATACCCCGTGAGTCTTCATCACAGTCCTGCAGGAGAAACATGCAGTCCCTCGGTCATGCTGAGGTGGACGCAGCCGCGTTGAGAGAACGGGAAATCGTGTCATGTCTCAGGCGAACATCGTGACGAAGACTCTAGAGTACGAAGACGTGATGCAGCCGTATGCAGAAGACTCGTCAGTGACCATTCAGATATCACTACGCTACCACCCTGGATGTGTGTCATGCAGCTGCATGACTCTATCTCGGGAACAATCAATCATGGTACGTGCCGCCTCGGAAGGTGTGTGTGGTCGCATACAAGATATCCTGCGTCTACTATATGTGACGTTCAGCCGCGGACGATGTCCGTATGAGTTCTGAGAGCCAAGCCAGACTCCCCTCCTTCATCTTGCTCCGTTTCATACACTTGTATGTGGCAACGCCTTCAGCAGCTCAAGGATTCTACCTTGTGTGTGTCGTGTGTTTCTTCATCTGTCTACCCCCTTCATCAATGCGACAGTTTTTACTTGCTTGACAACATGCGGGTTTCAGATAGTTCGATTCTGATGAACCTACATGCTGCCCTGTCCCTGTCAACACATCCCCCATCTCACTCCATCCTCACTTCCTTTTACCCTACCGCCTTACTACGAATTTGGAATCCTCGGACAGACGTACATGAAGCAGCGGGGGACGACTAGCGGCCCGTGAGTCGATAGGATAGGGCAAAGCAGAAGGATGTTATTCCACCCACGCAAGGTAGGGGATGTTCAATTGGAGGTGGACCTCACCAACCCCGCGAATGGCAGAAGAGAATCGAGCTCTTCGTATACTGCCCTATTACAGCTTCGACTGCGGCTGATACATTCCCAGTGCCTCCACAGAGACAGCCCTGTCCCTGTTCCTTATATGCCCTCGGCTCCTGAGGCGGCCACCAAACCCCCGCGTCTCTGCATGTCGTTCATCTAGTAACTGCATAAGGCCAGGCCGAGCACCGCTGAAAGCTCTGCCTATCAAATCAGAGAAGCCCTTTGGAACACATGTGGCAACCAAGGATGGCTATGGGGGCTGCGTTTTGATTGATCCTCTTTTCTTTCTTCCTCTCTGCTACTTCAGCTGTTGTTCCGCTTTGAGCGATGTTGTGTTGGCCTGAGCATGCAATCTTAGTCCACGTCCGTTGGGAGTGGCAAGATTGGCAATGACAGAAGCTCCATCTGTAACTTTACACAACGTTCTTGACGAAGCCCGATCCAAACAACGGACCCTGTAATTAGGCATCTGGCTCTGATATTGCTTCGGACCCTGATGGTGGAGCGCCCAAGAACTTGCACGCCCCCGGGGTTTGTCGCGACATCCTCAGATGAACGGCACGGGGACTTTCATCGGAGACTTGAAACCCACGGATCGGTCCTCGACATTCTCTTCGGTTGCTTTCCCCTTGCGTTGCGTCAAGGGTCAACGATTGCGTCCAAGCGGCGCGTCTGCGAGCCGTTTTGGGGTAATAACGATGGCGCCTCGAGAGGCTTCAATCTTTACGACCAGGTTATACTACCTAGTGTTGTCGTCCTCTCGAGGCCTTATTCGACGGGCTAGCAACTACTTGAGACTGGGCATCGCTGTACGGAGCAAGACTGGCTTTGTAGGTGGTTTGGGTATCTCTGCAAGCTGAGTTGTGCCTCTCTGCTTTCGTTCTCTTCCCACCTCTACCCTCTTCCTTTCAAAGTACTTGTTATGGCTCTGTTTCTCTCTCCCACACATTCACTTTCAGCAGCATGCTTCCATGCCCATCTCAGCAAACCCCCCAGGACCCCTGCCTGGGGCAAAAAGCGCGATCTCAGGAACCGCGCAGCCGCCGCTTTTGCTCCGTTTTTGCCCACATTGTGGACTCTCTCACCCAATATCGTAGTATTGCAAACATATACCCATCTAGTCATGTATGATCAACACAGGCATGTGTGACGTGTCAGATGTCATCTCCTTGCCCTTTCTCGACAGTGATTTCGGGATGATCAGGTCCCATCGAGATTGAGCGCGCCCACTTTCATCACGGCTGGCGGGCCTCCCGTTTGGGCGCCTCTTTTCAACTAAAGACGGAGCTGGAGGCCTTGAATTGTTTTGATTACGTGTAGCTTTTTGTATGGAGTCGTGTGAGATTACTGTGGTTGGTTTGAGAGGGTATGCTTGGGGGAGGGGGTGGTGTTGAGGCCAGACAGGCCGATTTGAAGCATGACGTTAGTTGCTGGTGTCCGATGCCGTTGTGCTTAACGGGCTGCGAAGCGGCGAGTTTGTCGTGTTGGATCGACTCGTGCCTGTGTATGTATGTATGTACATACGCCGAGCGAGTCATGGCGCCGCCGGCGACGCTGCCCTGTTCAACTGTGCAGATTGCATTTTCGAGCTACGAAGGCTTGCATATGCAGACGATTGCTGACGTGTAACTAGGTATATATATGCAAAGCACTCCGTTGCCGTGCATGTATTGTACATGCTCATGCGCTCATGTGAGTGAGTTGAGTGAGTTAAGTTGGAGTAGGCAGGGGGTTTCTGGTTTTGAAGTGACTGCATGTTCACCACATCTCTGGGGGCCGGGCATGTTCAATCTGCGGTCTTTGTATGTCCCTTGTGTGATTTCTGAAAAGAAGCATCTCTCTGCCTCAACTCCGGATTCAGTGAAACTTGACAAAGGGGGGGGGGGAGTACCCAGTATGTAAAGTATGATGCTCCTTTGCTTTGGATACATATAACTGAGCGTTTGACGTCGACTCTTACCGGGAAATGATGGGGCGTTGTGAACAGAAACAGAAACAGGGGATGCCAACAACGTAGACGGACGTTATGAAGGTGATGAGCTTCAAATGTGGGAAGAAACATTTGTTGTGTCTCTACCCGTTTCAAGTTCCCATCGGGGCTTCCTCTTCCTCAACCTCCAAGGGACCTCGTTGGTGTTGTGTGTGTTTTGTCATGTTCATGTCATTTCATTCATTCATTCATTCATTCACGCTCGTTGTACGAGGATACATACATCTTGTTTGTATTTGGCATGATTTGCCCTTTTTTGCCACCAGTGGTTTCCTCCTGGAGCAGAAAAAATGGTCTGGTTGGGGGATGTGAAGTTAGAGAGAGAGTGGGAGAGTGCTAGGGGGTTCTCTGTGATTTGCCTCTTTTTTTTTTCGTTTTCTTTCTCCCTGCTTAAATTGTGCAAATCGTGGAGTTGCCACTCCGGAGGGGAGGGGGGCGTCTGCCGGGAAGTGGGAGAAATGGGAGGTTTGTTCCGCGGAGAGGTGTGTTGTCGTGCTTGGTCTGGTTTATATGGATGGCAGACCGGCGGAGGAAGTATGAGAGGTTTGTTGCGAGTTTCTCAGGGGGGTTGGAGGGAGATGTCGTGTTGTGAGTGTGGTCGTGGTCTCCGTAGGACCAGAGTAACAACTCTGCCGCTGTGAATGGATGATACATACGTCGTTGTAAACCCATCTTTACATGTCAAAATGCAACTGTAAACTATATCAGAGGGGGGGAGGATGTAGGACCTCCTCTACTATAAAGCAAGTGCTCTTTTTTTTCAAGAACCCGAGAGATGGTGACATAAATGGTGTGATCTCTAGGATCACTCCACAGAAGCCGTTGAGGGGGGCCCATGGCATGCAATGGGAGAGAAATCATGAAGAAAGGAATAAGTGAGTATCATGTATTTTCAGAACTGACGGCTACTTTTTGTGACCAAGTTCTAACGCCCCCCCAACCCTTTTTCATGGTCTATATCTGAGTGATCCGCATGTCTTACAAACGCCGAAAAATGCTCCTCGTGTCGACACAAAACATGTTCTAGCATTACCAATGAACCGCCAGTCGCTGGTAACCAAGCTCACAAAAGCGAGGCAACTTCGTAGGAAGCAAAACTCAATGAGAGAGAAAAGGAGATGGAAGATGCGGGAATTTGCGTAAGGTTCAGGTTGAGCTTGAAGTTCTCTCAACTTGACCACGACGATACCCAGCGAGGCAGATAGAAGCGCACGTTCTCGTACACCAAGAAGGTGACCCAGGTCGAGGGCATGACGCGGACGACGCCCGGGATCAGGCCGCGGTAGAAGCCGCGGATGCCCTCCTGCCGCCAGGTCATGCGCACGACGCCCCTGAAGCCCCTGCCGAACTTCTCGTCGGCGTGGAAGACCTGCAGGCGGCTCCGGAGGACCTGGTAGGGGTAGGTGACGGCGCCGGCGACGAGCTTGGAGACGGAGGAGATGACGACGGTGGCCTCGGTGGTCAGGCGGCCGTCGTCGACGCCCATGCGCCTGCGGCGCGCAAAGTAGAGGCGCTTGGCGGGCTCGTAGACGGCGAACTGGACGGCGCCGTGGGAGACGCCGATCATGGAGACGCCGAGGCCGCGGTAGAGGCCGCGGACGCCCTCGGTGGCGTAGATTGTGCGGAAGCCGGACCACATGGACGGGTAGGCGCCCTTTGCGCCCTTGTCCGAGGCCAGCATGCGCGTCTTGACGACCCAGATCGGGTTGGAGAGGACGCTGGTGGCGGCGCCGGCGAGGGCGCTGGCGACGAAGAAGTCGGAGGGCGTCGGCCGGGGCGTGCCGCGGGCGAAGGTCAGCAGGTCCTCGAAGCGCGTCTTGAAGAAGAAGAAGGAGGCCCAGCTGAGGGCGTTGCCGGACAGGTTCGGGACGAGGCCGCGGTAGAGCGAGGACAGCGGCTTGGGGTTGCTGGAGAGGCGGCGGAGCATGGCGACGGTGGAGAGGTTCTGGGAGGCGGCGGAGGCGGCGCTGGTGCTGACTGCGAAGTGGGTGACGAACTTGTTAGCAATGGTGATGGTGGTGATGGTGTCTTCTCTTCTTCTGATGTCTCTCATGACTCCTCATGTCTCGTATCCTCATACTATAACCTCCTCGTTCTCTCAACCACCGGGGCTTGAAAAAACTCACTCTGCATCCGCGTCTTGACAATGTCCAGAGGATGCACCACCAGCGTCGCAATCGTGCCCGCGCTCAGCCCGGCAATCGACTCGACCAGGGCCGGCGAAAGGCCTCCATCATGGCTTCCGGGCATGGAGCTGTTGGCGTCCGAGCTGCGTCCGGTCACATTGTCGGGCGGCGCGAATGCGACGGGCGAGTGCTCGCTCATGTGGGAAAGGAAAGAGAGGAGAGAGGAAGCCGTGGAAATTCGTACTGGCTTGCGGCACCCTTAGGTAAGAGAATCTCTCTTCCTATGGCGATTATTCGCCTCTCGAGTAACCTCACTCGTAGTAGGTAGTAGTAGGTAGTTCTGGCCTAGGGGGATCGAACCAGTCGGTCACTGGCGGGTAGCGGCGGGCGGCTACTATTTTCCAAGATTTTTTTCTTTCTTTCTTTCGGTCGGTCTGAGTCGGGCGCTGTCGGAGGCTATTACTGGTCAGCCAAGGTCGTTCTTTGCTGGTGAGACTTGTCGTCCTGTGGGCTGTTTTGAGGTGTCGTCTCTGTTGACTTACTGAGTCGACACTCGGTTTTGTCTCAATTGGCTAGCAATTCACATGCTTGATGCTCGTTTATGGTGTTTTCGAGGAAATCATGCGGTAGAACCTCAGGGTTGCAATCTGTCGGTCCTGATAAGACGGACAGCGGCAGATAAAGGCGGTATCGGCGCATAGACACCTCGTGCTTACTACTACTTGCACGGCAGAATCTAGACAGGCATGAAGAGAGTGACGGATCGAATTTGAGGCGTTGACAAAGGCATTTGCAGAGTGGTTACTTGGTCCAATTACAGAGCAGCAGGTGGTACATTCCTAGTGTTACATGGCAGCTCTTCGGTGCGTTCTGTGTCCTCCCTCGTGGTCCCTTCGGCCTTCCAGGTCGTCGTCGTATTATGTGGGATATCACTCTGTCCTACCCCTGCCTGTCTTCTTCCAAGGCAATGTGAAGACTACCCAAACGCCGCGAATGCCGGATATTGAGCTTCTCTTTGGCCGTTCAGACTCTTGATCCGCATTCCCCTGTCCATCTCATTGCGCCGAATTATAATCGTATATCGTACAACAACGCATGGCCGTTATCTATGCATCCTGCGTTTATGAGAGGGGAGAGAGAAGGCTGTTTCGCACGGTCATGTTAGCGACAAGGCGTCTTGCATGCGGTCTGATGGGAGAGGGAGCGGCATACCGGATGACAGAGGGACGAGGGTCGCTGCGAGTGTAGCCTAGATCGAGAACGAGCAAGAGTTAGAATCGGACTCCGTAGATGCCGTGCGTGCGCTTCGAGATCGCATACCGAGATAGAGGATCAGAGGAAGATAGCCACTATCGCAATGGTCAGCTGTTAAACCCACGAAGAGCGGACATTTTTAGGGTTTCCATACTAGTGAATGGCGACTCGAGAAATGTCAATGAGCTTGGCAATGCGCTCCTGTAACAGTCAAGCGTTAGAATGGCTGCTCCATCATCAAAACCATCATAGCCATCATCATCGTCGCCATCGTCTGGCGGCTGTCTCGTCTCTATTTTCCCCTCTTTGATCTCTTCTCTCCCTCCTTGAAACTCCTCAGATGCCGTACCTTGGACTCTTCTGACAGGGCAAACATCTTGTATTCGGGAGCCGGCAGGCGACGGGTTCGGAAAAGTTTGGAGATGCAAAGTTGCGCAGATTGATTGATTGATGTGATGCGTCCTGGAAGCTCTCGCAAGCGTCCCGCCGGCTACGAAATTTTGAGACTTGCATAATGACGGTACGTACCGGCACTAGCGCCACCGCAGGCAATGCGGTCATTCGCTGCTAAGCCACTTGCGGTAAGGCGAAGATCAATCAGCGACGGCTCAACTCCGGCTGATCTGATTAGACCAGGTTGATAGGACGGTACAAGCTGCAGTACAACATTTCTGTGGACGAGATTTCCGAGCTTCATCCCAAGCTGCATCAAACGCGACGACGATTCGCAGCTCTGTCTCTTCATCGCTCGCCTCCTCCATCGCCATCAACGTCACAGCATTCACCAATTCCTCTCATTTGGCATCAGACATCCATCCATTGTTCCATCCTCGTGAGGCTGCGGCCCGCAAACCATCAAGATGGCAGTCAACAGGCATTGGTAGGTTTCCTCCCCAATCCATCTTCTTCTTCGCGTGTATCCGATGCCATTCCTCCAACCAAACTGACTCAAGAACTCTTCTCTTCCTTCACAGGGAGCAGGACAAGGAGGCCACCGTCTACATCGGCAACATCGACGAGCGCGCGACCCCGGCCATGGTCTACGAGATCATGCTCCAGATGGGCCCCATCCACAACATCCACATGCCTCGCGATCGCGTCACCCAGACGCACCAGGGCTTCGGCTTCGTCGAGTTCCGCACCCCCGCCGACGCCGAGTACGCCGCCAACGTCATGAACGGCATCAAGCTCTACGGCAAGTCCCTGCGCGTCAACAAGGCCAGCGCCGACAAGCAAAAGGCCGCCGAGGTGGGCGCCGAGCTCTTCATCGGCAACCTCGACCCCATGGTCGACGAGAAGATCCTCTACGACACCTTCTCGCGCTTCGGCCCGCTGCTGAGCATCCCCAAGGTCGCGCGCGAGGACAGCGGCGCCAGCAAGGGCTTCGGCTTTGTCAGCTACGGCGACTTTGAGAGCAGCGACGCCGCCATTGCCAACCTCCACGGCCAGTACATCCTCAGCAAGGAGGTCTCGGTGCAGTACGCCTTCAAGAAGGACGGCAAGGGCGAGAGACACGGTGACCCGGCGGAGCGAGCCCTCGCTGCCCAGGCCAAGTCAAGAAATCTCCTGCCCGAGGCCCAGCCGCTGCCTCAGGCTTTCCTCATGAACGGCGCCCCTGCCGCTGCCGCTCCCCCTCCCGTCGCCCCCGCTGCCGCCGCCGTAGTCCCTCCCACCGCTCCGGCCGGCTTCGACTCGAACCCGCTGGCCCCCGGCGTGCCTGCTGGCGTACCTCCACCGCTCATGGGCACGCCCACGCACGCCAACATCCCGAGCGGCTTCGCTCCCCCTCCGCCCCGCGGACCTTCTCCCTACAACGCCGGCCCCGGCCACGTCCCCAACGGCTTCGGACGTGGCTCGGCGGCTCCCCTTCCGCCAGCCCCCTCAGGCCTGCCCGCGCGGCCTCCCCAGATCCAGGGCGGATACACGAATCCCGCCGACTTCCATCCATCTGCCTTCCGCCCTCCGTCTGGGCCCCCCGGCAGCGCTCCGCCCCCGCAAGGGTTCCCAGCCGTCCCGCCTCCTGGGTTTCCCGTGCCTCCTCCGCCTGGACCTTCGGGCACGCCTCCGGTGCCGCCTCCGTTCATGCCGCCTCCTGGCTTCCAGCCTCCGCCTGGCTTTGGTCGACGATAAAAAGAAGTAACTTACTCAAAATCTTTTCGTTTTTCTCATAAGTTTTAATGTTTATGATACCTGGGCTTGTACAGAGAGACGGTAAAATTCGGATCAGGTAAGAGAAGCAAGGGCCATGAAAAGGAAACCATTTAGACACAATCCATTTGTTTACCGCAGAACTTCTAATTATCCGAGGCTGCCAAAGGGAAGATGAAGGCATGTTTAAAAACAACACACGGCCCTCGAGGACTCTTCTTCTCTTACGCCACCCGCTCCCTTATTCCTCCTTGCTCCCAAGTGTAATATTGGCCATCTTTCTAAAGATCAAGTTATCGTACAAATGGTTTTTTTTCTTTCTTTCTTTCTTCCTTTGCTCATTGTTCTTTTTTTTTTCTTTTTTGTTCTTTTTCATCTTGTTTCGTATATACCAGGATCCCATGCTGTATAAAAGCCCGTCCGAATAGTTCTTTCTGGTCAGAGAAAATCATTGTTCTAGTAGAAACAAGGTGTGGGAAACAACCGAGGTACCAATAAACAGAAGAACCGAACCAAAACCCCATTCAACTCCTGTGCAGTAAACCCGTCTCTGCACATGGATCGTCTCTGATAACTCCGTGACACTAAATCTTTCCATCATGGCAACATCTTCTTCTCACAAGCTCCGGGCAAACGCGTCTCTCGCCTCCTCGGTCGCCTTGTCCCACTCCTGCTTGGCCTCTTCCCTCTGCCCCTGCACCTCGTACGACTGCGCCAGCATGCCGTCCGCCACGCTCTGCCACAGCACGTTGCCGCTCCTCTCCGCCTGCTTGGCCGCCGCCCGGGCGCTCTTGAGGGCCTGCTCGCCAATGACGTTCTCGAAGAAGCGGCTGCGCATGATGCACAGCGTCACGGCGGCCCCCAGCACGTTGCTGGTGACCTTGGAGCCCGCCATGGCGGCGTGGATGTGCTGCTTCTGCTGGTTGAGCTGCTGGGGCGGATCCGTCACGAGGGCCGCCATGACGTTGTGGTAGGCCGTCCGGAGATCAATGTTGCTGTGGTTGGCGCAGTGAGGCTGCAGCTGCTCGATGAGGTCCAGCGTTTGCTGGTCGTTTCGGCAAGACGGGTGCTGCATGATCCACAGCCGGTTCAAGCCCGCAAGGAGCGCGACCTCTTGTTGCCCGGCCTTGATCCCGGTGCTTCCCTGCTGCTGGACCTTGAAGCGGTCATCGAGGAAGATGTCGAGGGCGGCTTGCAGGCTGCCGATGCCCTGGTAGTATACGCCCTTCAGATATGTGGAGAGCAGTCTCACGGTGGGCTGCGTTGAGGGCGAAACAAAAGTCTCGAGATTCTGAACCATCTGCTTGACAGTTGACCACTGGCAGTGACTGGCAGCCACCAACCCCAGAAGGACGGTCAAGTAGGCCTGGGCCTCTATTCGCCAAGCCCGCTGCTTGATGGCCACATTTAGTGGAACGGGGGGGCCATATGGAATACCGGCCGTTGAAGCGTCCCCTAAGCCGGCGTGTTAGTGTACATGAGGCATAAGGTAATGTATTCTTGCCATGACTCACATGTCTCGAGAATCTTCAAGCCTTCCTTCCAGAACTCGGTTGACCTGCGGCCTTGAGAAGAAGGCTTGTGGAAGTTGACCAGGCCGCTAATAGTAAACCTACGCCATGTTAGCATCCTTTCTGTAACCAAAAATATGGTCAAGCCATAGCAAGACACGTACACGAGCGACCTCAACTCCATCTTGGTCATGAATGTCATGACCAGATAATCCATCTCGCCTTCACCCTCACCAACCCGCAGTATGGCCTGCGTGTCCTCGCTCACGGTCCTGGCCGCCGAGGGCTCCTTCTTTACGGGCACCATAAAGTCCGACTTAACATTATGCCACCCCTCACAGTCGTCCAGACACACCTGCAGCTGTCGCAGCTTTTGCGCCGTATGATCGGGGCTTTGGTGGTGCAGGCTTGCGGCGACTTCGAGCAGCAACGTCAGCATGGTGAGCTGCGTGATCTGCACCGACGGGTCGAACTGGTACTTGGCCACCTGCGCGATGCAGGCCTGGATCTTCTCCATGTTTCCGTCCTTGGCCGTCTTGAGAAGGGTGAAGCCTTCCATCAGCGAGGCGAAGACGGACAGCGCGGTGTCGCCTCTGGTGTTGGCGACGTTTTGGATGGTTCGTATGTTGTCGAGGGCGCCCGCGTCAGATACGCTTCCAGTGTCTAGGTAAAAGGAAGCCTTTAACAAGCGGAACGCATAGTACCATTGGACATGCTTGAACCTGGATCTGCATGTCAGTCTTGGCTGATGTTCGAGACGAAAGAAGGCAACTCACACTTCGCAGTTAGATATGTGCCCATCTATAGCTTTCAACGCCGCCTTGTGATTCCTCTGAAACAGAACCTTGAGCATGAGATACTGCATGCAATACTTCAGATCAAGCAGACGGTGCTGGTTGGTTTCCTACATATCAGCGGCTTGTCCCAAGTCAAAAACACAACGTCTCAAAATAGCCACAACTCACCTTGTCGCAAAGCGTGATGCCTTTTGCCAGCGCCGTCTCCGCCTCCATCAGATTCTCCGTCTCTTCTTGCAAGAGAGCTGCGTACCTCAACCGTACGCGCGCTTCTTCCCGCGGCGCAAGTTGGTTGTTGCTCTGCAACGCAGCCTCCAGACATGACAACGCCGTCGCTACCAGCCCTTGATACTCTTCAACTTGGTTCGGAGAGAGAGTCATGGCCACGTCGTGCGAGGCGTTGCGCGCCTTCTCAATACACTCCTCCGCGACCGCGATCATGTAGGGCGTCGGGTTCATAGGCCGAGGTTTGGGTGTCACTGCGGGCGACTTCTTCGTGATACTGGGGGATCTCATGGAGAGCGAGGGCGAGTTGGTGACCGAAGAATGAGGGCTAGGTTTGATGCGAGCGTCGGGAATCTGCTGAAATACTCGAGTCGCAATCGAATCATCTTCTTGTTTCTCCTGCTTGATCGAGGTCGCACTGGGGTATATGGGCTTCACAGCGACAGACTCTTTCCGTTTTTCTTGAATTCCCAGGGGGGTCGTTGTTGAGGTTGTTGTTGAAGTTGTCGTTGAAGTTGTCGTCGTTGGTATAGGTAAAGAGGTCATCGACGGCTGCTTCTGGATATCTTGCAGGTTGACGTAGTGCACCTGCTCTTGCTGAAGCTCTGAGGGATGTACGTATTGCGGTGGTTGGGGCGGTTGAGGCGGTTGCGGCGGTTCGGGGAGCAGATCGTTCTGAGGTTGCTCGGCATTCTGGACGGATTGAGGTATGGGAGGTTGCGGTCGCTGCGGCGGCTGTGGCTGCGGAGGTGGCGCATACTGTTGATGCTGCTGCTCCCCTTGTGGTTGCTGCTGAGGCTGCTGTCCTTGCGGCGCCAATTGAGGTGCTGGTGACAGCTGAGGCGCGGGTGACAGATGCTGAGCCGGTGACAGGTGCTGAGCGGGTGATAGGTGCTGCGGCGGCTGAGGAGTATGTTGCGGTCGTGGAGGCACCGGTACCTGACTTCGAATAGGCGACGGTTGCGGCGGCAGGGAGTGCGCAGGCGCAGGTGACGGCGTATGAGCATGATATATCGGAGACGGCTGATGGCGCCGCTGCTGCTGCTGGCGCTGGGCTTGGTGGACTTGTTGCAGAGGCTGCTGCTGCTGCGGTAACGGCTGGTGCGTGAGGGCCTGGTGCTGCATCGGCTGCGGCTGCGTCGTCATGCTCGTCATGGCCTGCTGCTGCTGCTGCTGCTGAAGCTGGTGTTGCTGATGCTGATGCTGTGGCTGCTGCTGCTGTTGCCAGACGCTGCTCGGCGGCAGGTACTGGCCCGACGCATCGTACTCGGCAAACCCGTTGAAGCCCACAGCGTACGGCTGCTGGAACTGCTGCGGTGTCATGAACATGCCGTGCTGGTGCTGGGGCTGCGGGCTCTGGTGGTAGAACTGCTGCTGCTGCTGCTCGTGAGCCATGGCGCCGGCATACATGGACTGCTGGCCATGGTGAAGCGCTGCCGCCTGTTGCTGCTGCTGCTGCTGCTGCTGCTGTATCTGCTGCTGCTGCTGTATCTGCTGCTGCTGCTGTATCTGCTGCTGCTGCTGTATCTGCTGCTGCTGCTGAAAGTGATACCCTCCCGCCGGATGCCCGTACATCTGCTGCTGCTGGTGGTGGTGTAGTTGGTTATGGTGGTGAAGCTGCTGCGGATGCTGGTGCTGCTGCTGCTGCTGGTCTCCCTGGCCAGGAAAGGCCTGTCCCGAAGGCAGCGTCCCCCGGAACGACATCGCACCGTCAGCATCGGCCGCTGGTGTTGCTGGTGCGAGAATGAAGCCCTGCGCAGTCAAGTCTCATGCTTTCCTCGTCGTCGTCGACTTCATTGGCCGGGGGGAGATGAGGGTTGGCGCGCGGGCGTTTTTGCTTTTCCTTCCCTCTTCCTCTCGCTCTCTCTTTCTCCTTCTCTCCTTTGTCTCTTGATTCCTTCGCCGTCTCCTGCAGCTTCTTCTTGTTTGTTCTTCGTCTCGATAGGTCGGAGGGTGCCGTGCCGGGTTTCGATGCGGTATCCGAAAGGCGCGTGTACGCAGGGCGAAGGAACGTGCTTCCGTCGTCTGCGCCAAACCGCAGGGCGAGTGCTTTCGTCTCTTTGTTTCCCCCTTCTTCTTCCCGCACGAACCTCAATAGTCGTGAATCCTTTCTCGAGTTCGAGTCCCGCCCAGAAAACAGACAAGTCAAAACCAAAAGGGTAAAAGAAAAGCCTTTCCCTCTTCCGGCGCCGTCAAGAAAGTCCCCAGCGTCGAACGTTTTCGCTTAACTTTCGCGGCGTCGAATCGTTTATAAGGATTGCGGGAGAGTCACTGTGCGAAAATCAGCCGCGGCCAGGTGAAGAGGCGCGCGCGCGACGTTCAAAAAATTGATTAATTCGAAAAAGGGAAAAAAAAAGAAAAGTAAGAAAAGGCGTTCCGTGCTATCACATGGTTGGTTAATTGTTGGTTGGTCTTTTGGTCGGCTTTGGGGAATAGTGAGGTAACTGATAGGTACCTCGCACGCGGACGGAACTGCGCGCAGATCCGGATGTACCTGGTCAGACACCCGAGTGCGACCTCCCGTGTTTGATGCGAATGGGCGGTGCAGACTGGCTTACCCTGGACTGTGATGGGGGATCTTGGAGAGCGAGAGAGAGAGAGAAATGACAGGAGGGTAACAATGACAGAAAGCCATTTGACCGGTTAGAAGGAACAGACACGTTGAAGTTGGCGGTGGGACGATATTTCTACCTTGGATGAGACTTGTGTTATAATAATGAACTGTATACTACCTTACCTATCTCCGAGTAGCAGTGACTGAATCAACGACAGAGTACGCCCACCATACAGAGACGGTCCAGTCCGTCTCTTCAGTTTTACTTGGTACTCTGGGACAAGGCATCACGCTCGCAAGCTCGGGCAAATTCTCGTACATTATTAAAACATAATTCAACATAGGTATGGCTAAGACAAGGTAGGTATGAGAGGTAGCCTGATCAGCGGCTTCTGTTGCCGCAGGCCGTCCAAAGCTTCGTAGGTAAGTTACATGACATACATTGCAGCGTAACGACGTGAGTTCTTTCAACGCGTGACAACGGACCCAATTCTGGGGCTCTTGAGACAAAATCAAGAAAAAAGAACAGGAGTAAGGGAAAAGAAGAAAAAAGACAAATCGTAGCTAAACGCCGTGACATGCATATGCACCATATACCACCCAAAGTCACCACACTTTTGCCGTGTGTTGGGTACAATGCGGAAATGGCCCAAAAGAAGGGGGCTGAGAAAATCAAAACAGATTGTGTGTTGGCTGCTTAACCAACGCAGTTCCACTCTGCAAAGACGCACCATCGAGCGGTGCGGTCAGCCAGCACCAGGCCTCTCCAGACGCCTTTCTCGGAGCACTTGATGATCGTCTCCCAAGTGCCGCCGTCGCTGACCTCTTCGTCTGCGGACCGCGATCCGACGCTGATGCCCTTGCGGTCCTCCTTTCTCATAAGACGGAGGATCTTGCCTCCCGGTGTCTGGATGGCCAGCTTGGCGGGCTTCTTTCCGGAAACCGTCCCGCTGGCCGAGCTGGGATTCGAGCCGCTCGCACTAGAAGCGTTGACGCTCATTGCCGATGACGGCCGAGTGAAGGGGACTGGGCTTGTCGACCCAGGATTCGACGCCGGCGTGAGGGCCGACTGCGCTCCGTTTGAAAGGGAGCTGGGGTGCTGCCTGATGGCGAATACAAAGGTGTTGTTCAGAGCCAGCTGCTGGCACTGGGGCTGGACAACGTAAATATCATGCCGCTGCGCATGAGGAGTCGGGTGTCGTGTGACAAATTGGTAGGGTGGGTTTTCACCAACGTGGATAATGGGTAGTGTAAAGGCCAGAGGATGGGGAATGTCCTTGATGCTCTGCATCAGGCCCCTCTTACCGGCGTAGACTTTCAACATGCCTTGGCCTTCGTCACCAGGGAGCAGTGCCTTGATGGTGTATCGTTTCACGCCGCTGAACCATTCGGCTTGAGCCAGCGCCTTCTTCTTGACAATGTCGCCGCTCTCGAACAGATCGCCATCGTGGTCTCTGGACAAGGCGCGCGCTTCCACCTCGGCCACAATCTCAACATCAGCCGGGACGTTGAGTTTGATGTGGACCATCTCAAGATCTTCTATCCTGGTCAGGCTAGTGTTATAGTCAACCAGCTCAAGCCCGTTCTTGAAAAACGCCGGGCAGGTGCACGGCAGGTTGAGCAGCGTATCATAGTCCACAGGAGGCACGATGTGTTGCTGGTCGTGATGCTCCGGCACGTGGGTCCAGCAGATCTCGGTCGGTCGAGTGAGGAACCACCAAAAGTCCGCCGACGACCCGGTTAGGCTGGAGTACAACGCGCGCTTGGGATTCGAAGGGCTTGCCAGGCAGGTATCGATTATGCGCCACTCGTCGTCAACAATGACCGCGTTCCACCAGTGGTTGGACCTGGGCATCACGTTGAGATCTGCAATGTCGCCCGGGGCCTTTAGGTAGCCCCTCACGACTTCGCAGTGAATCCCGACGGCAGCGCACATTTCCATGACAAGGTAGGCATATTCTTCTGCGCAGCCCCTCTTTGCCTGGATGGTCCGCTGGGTGTCGGCATCGCCCTCGAAATCCTCTTCCCAGCAGATCCTTTCTGCAACCCAGGTGAAGATGGCGCGGAGGCGCTGCAGATCGCTCCTGTAGGGTCTGCAGATGTATGTCTGCGCAAGCGTCGTCACCGTCGTGCCCGGAGGCGGCTCCTTGATGAAACGGGTGTTCTTGTCCACCTGGGCGAGGTTGATCATGTGGTAATTCTCCGGCTTGTGAACCGGCATGCCGTCCGCCCCTTCGTCGCCCTCGATACTGTCATAGAGCTCATCGACGGGGTTGATTGCAGGATGGTCCTGCATCTGGCAGCGGTCTCTGCGCTCGGTCCGCTCGATCTTGCTAATCGAATTGGAGCGGTTGACATCTCGCCGGACCTGGACCCAGTCGACACCGGAGCTGAGGCCCATTTCCCGGGCCGCATCGCGCCTGGAGCGAGCGCCGCTCAGCGAAAGCATGCTTGCTCCGGGAGTGACACTGTGCGGCTGCTGCAGGCGAGAAAACGGCGAAGATCTCACGGTGGGCACATGGCCGGCGGCGATACTACCGCGGTTGCTGGCGACGCCCGTCTTGGCCGAGTCCAGAATCTTCTTGAATATGTTTCTTTTCGGTGATTTGGGTGCTACAAGTCCGCCTAGACCAGGGGCTCCGTCCTCCAGAAGGCCAACGTGGGAGATTGGCCGGGAGCTCCCACTTCCGCTTCCACCTCCGGCATAATTGCTGGCATGGCTGCTGTGGTAAGTAACGCCTGTAAATGGCGAATCTGGCCGGTCTCCATCGTCGTTGCGTGCGCTCAGTGAGCTTTGCGCACGCTGGGACGACCGAACCAAGCTCCCAGCGCTCGTAGTGCTCAATCCGCTGGCGGAGGCGCCGCTCCAGAGAGTCCTGTTGCTGTTCTGCGTCGAGGAGCTGCTGTTGCTCTGATTGCCGGTGGAAGCGTTCGTCTGGGTCGTTTTCGTGGTGTTTGTGCGCTCGATGCCCGGTGCCACATCATATGCCGATCTCCGCCCACGCGTCTTCTTGTCCAAGGAAATCAGCTCTCCAAGCGTTGACCCCGCGGACGACTTTGGGCGCAGGTAGTGCTGCCCCTTTGGCGGCGGCGGCGGAGGCTTGTCGTCATCTACGTCCACCACCGCCGGCATACTCTGGCTATGTTGATGCATCCTCTGAATTTGCTTCTCCATCCTTTCCACGTAGTTGCTCAGCTGGGGCAGGTGAGGGTCGTATCCCTTTTCGCGATGCGTGTCCTGGTGCGAGGTATTCTGCGAAGACGTTCCACTCCAAGTCTCGTATCCCTCGTCCAAAGCTATGCCCATTGATGTCAAAGGCCTCAAGCGCTCCCGTTCCCGCCGTTCCCGTTGCTTTTGCCTCTGCTGCGGTGCTACCAGGTCGAAAGACTCGGGGGACCAGGGATCGAACGACCCCTCTGGCGATTGCGCCTCTCGCCCCCCTAAGCCCTCCAAGCGATCAAGCTGCTGCATCACCCCATCCATCGCCTCGCGTAACGGTGACGGCGTCATGTGGCTTCCCTCCATTGATGGTCGATGAGAACCTGAGCCCTTGGGTGTGTGATATCCGTCGCGCCGGGCCCCGTAACTGGCATCGTCGTAGGAATTGTATGATGTCTGCCTTGCCAAGTTGGGAAGATCGGTGTAAGAGGCGTTGGAGTTCTGGCGAGCGCGAGCCGGGCTGTATGGTTCGTACGACCTCGAGACATCCGGCCCGTTGTAAGAGACGGTAGAGCGCATGTCCGCCGGGTTATAGGAAATGGTGGAGCCGGTTCTTGTTATATCTGCAGGATTGTACGAGACGGTAGAGCCTGTTCTTGTTAAGTCTGCTGGGTTATAAGAAACGGTGGAGCCTGTTCTTGCTATGTCGGCCGGGTTGTACGAGACGGTAGAGCCCTGTCTTGATAGGCTCTGTTGATTGTACGACACATTGGAGCTGTGCCTCGACAATGAGTGATAGCCTTGCGCCGCCTCATCAGAATCCGTTCGCGCAACGTGCCTGTGGGGAGGTGGTGCCGGAGGCGGTGGAGAAGCGGCGCCTCTTGCCATATCCTCCATACGGCTCGGCGGACGGCCGATGGACGGCGCTGGTGACGGAGCTCTCGATACATAGGCATTTGCTGGGGAGTGAGAAGGAGTAGGAGCGCGAGCAATATCTTCGTGGGCACTTCTTGCGAGGACGAGCGCAGTACTAGGAATCGGCGTCGAGTTCCCCCTAGATCGTGATGTCGTCGTTCCTACCCGAGACGGCCTCTCTCTCGGACGCGACGCTGGCGTCTCGCGAAATGTTTCTGGCTGTTTTGCTGTAGTATAATGCGGCGCCTTGGCATAAGCCTCGAAGGGTTTCCGGAACGTCCTCGACTTTTGCGGCACCGACTTGGATGGGGATGCTGTCGGCGGTATGGGACTCGGTGTTTTGGTTGGCCGAAAGTCTTCTGGTAGTACCTCGACGAAGTTGGACGGAAAAGAGCCAACAGTCCTCCGATCTCGAAATAGCCTGCCAACCCACCACGAGCCGTCACCCGCATTCAGACACTCTATCAAGTCGCCCTCGACGAATCCCAGGTCGTGTCTTGACTGCACACAAAAAGGTCAGCAATGGAGAGCAAGTCAGCACGCGACGTCACAGTACGAACCTCGCCTCCCCAAGAATAGATGGCCCGGCACCAGCACGGAAATCGCGAAGGCAGGGGCGGCGGTGATAGCGCCATAGTGTCGACGGTTGCGCCACGCCTCTGTCGCCGAATTGACCAGCTCTGAAGACGTAGGAAAGCAGAACGAGCGGAGGAGCAGGAGGAGGAGGAAGGGGGGGAGAGAAAGGTCTGGGAGAAAAAGGGAAAAAAGGGAAGACGAAAAAATTATGCCCGTTGTTGTTTATCCCTTGTCTGGCAGAGTCAAGTAAGGTATCGGGTCGACAGGACAGGTGTGGGCAGCTGATGGAATCGACGCGTTCGGCCCCTCGCCCTCACCGAAACGATTTCAGTCGTGATGCTTGTGTGCCAGCCCGACAAACGCGCAGCTCAACTGGCGCCGCTGGTGGTCGATCAGAGGAGAGTGAAGATGTGATGCAGAGGTCAGAGACGGCGCATGTCCAAAGCCTGCGATCCAACGGCAGCAGCAAAAAGCATTGGACCAGACGATACCTCCGACACCCTGGGCTCCTGTTGATGGCAAACGGGGGGTTGGATGGAATGCTGGAGCTGCTGCAGTTCTTTGTCTCCGCCACTGCAGTGCCGGGCTGCGGCGGTACCTGGGACGAGGTACCGAATAATGAATGCACAGGGCAAGTGCTGGGCAGCTGGTACAAGCTCGGGGCCAGGCACAAGTACCCCAGGTACAGACGCAAGGTATCACCAGCAGCAGCACCTCCAGGCTTCTGGTCTCTGTTCCAGCGTGTCGGTGCTGTGCTGGGCAGTCATTAATAGCACTGGACAGCCTTTCTTTGTTGACGTTTTGTGACCTGTGTGTGCGTCTGCGTCTGTCTGTGTGCGCACAGGTATTACGAGGACAAAGCAGGTGCCTGCAGCCGCCGTGCTCGGCATGAGTCTTATGGGATGCACCTACGGAGTATACTCTCGCCAGCTGCACAAGAACTTGGAACTTGGAGGCCAAGCGTGTCGACAAGGAGCCGGGCGGTACTGTAGCGTCGCAATCTTGACGTACCTCGCAAAGTAGCTCGTACAAGCACAAGTATATCTTGGATTGGGCTGCATCAAGCGAGATTGCGGCAAGGCATGGACGCAGCTCCAAGGTCCGCTTCTCAGCATTTCCCCCCCGTGCTGGAGCTGGGAGCTGGAGCTCTAGAAACCTTGGAACGCAGCGGCGGGACTGGCCGAAGCAGCGCAGAGGAGCTGCCGGCGACGCCTTGCAGGGCCCGCGACAACAGAGGGGCAAAGGTGGCCGTTGCCGTGCCGACCGACTTGCCGTGGCTTGAGTGGCTGGCGGAAGGGAGCGCGGCCCCTCTGTTAGCGCCATGCGATGCGCTGTGCGATGGCGCTAGCAGAGCCTGGGAGGAACTGGGTAAGCTCTGGTGCTGTAAGACGGTGTTTGAGCGCGATCCATTTTGCATTTTGCGGTGGCTGGGAGAGGGCGGGTTCTCATGGCGACGCGCTGCAGAGCCTCCCTTTGGGGCATGCCCTTTTGTGTCGCCGACGATCAAATCAGATGCCGCCTATTCCCAGGGAGGCCTTAGCACGGCGGCCTTAAGAGAGCCGGAGCCTGCTGTAGCCGAGCCCAGGCTGAATGCACATGAAAGGCGCTTCCATCATGTACATGTAACGATGACGATGGCAGCTGAAGTTGAAGCTATCCATGGATCTGTACCTTGCTAGCACCTGTGAGTGCTCCTGCTAGAGAGGTACCGCGCCTACCGCGACACCAGGTACAACAGTACCGGCTCGTGTACTTCGTACCTCGACTACCTCTTCAGGTCAGCTGCTGCCACCAGCCCCCCGATATGCACTGCTGGGTTGCCATGCAGCAGAAGCTGGAAACTGCAGTGCTTTCGTGCATTGGCGCGAGCAACGAGCTGCATGTTTGTTGATCCCGTCGCTGAGCAGTTCAGCTGCGCGTTGCATATGGTATGCTGCACGTTTGTCGCATGCTGGCCGTCAATCCCGCAAGCAATGAATGCCCATCAGGTGTTACTCGTACCTTAAGTAGGTACCTGAAGTACCAGCAATTCGGCATTGCTCGTGCAAGCGCCTACCTTACCAAAGCTCTTGGGCTACCGTGAAATGACGACTAGCGGCTCGCAGGCCAACGGAAACTCCCCGCCAGCCACCATTACGCCCATGGGAGGTACTTGGACAGCAGTACCTCCTTGTCCCAAAGCGGACCTCTGTAAACAAAAGCTGAACCTTGAAGCTACCCCCTAGGTACTCTAGTACTTCTAGACTGCCTGCGGCTCCACCGCCCCGGACAACCATTCTCAGTCCTTCAACCTTGGCCTCGACGCAATCAGAGTCCGGCTCTATGCTGTTTGTGATTGTATACGATACTCCCTACCAAGGGCTGTGACTGCGTACAAAGTAATTACAGCTGCGGCTCCAGTTGACGCTCACGATTCGATCGCTCTTGGCTTGTTTCGGCGCAGAGGTCGAGAGAGCCGAAACAAGCTTCAAGTTCCACCGCCTCGCCGTTCTGTCCCGACGGGACGCCAATTTCGATCAATTTCGAGATTCCCAGCTCTGCGACCCTTGCGCCCAGCTGCCTTGTTTCAACCTTCCTTGGGCCCTGCCCTGTCCGTCTGTGCCGGCGCTGGAGAGAGACTACGCACCGGATAGCAATATCGGTTGATCCTCACCGAGATGGCAGAAGGCGACAGTCTTGCTAATAACTACCAGGTGCTGGAGGAGCTAGGCCGTGAGCCCTGCCCTGTTGACGGACGCCTTTGTTTACATCGAACCGCTAACTCGGACCACAGGTGGGAGTTTCGGGGTCGTTTACAAGGGAATCGACAAGGTCACTGGAGAGGTTGTGGCTATCAAACATGTGAGGGCCCTTCTCGTTTGGCAATCCGCTGAACCGTCAGAAAGAGATCTCCGAGCTAACCTTATCGTCCCTCGCAGATCGATCTTGAGTCCAGCGATGATGACATCCAGGATATTCAAGCCGAGATCGCTGTTCTCAGCACCTGTGCCAGCCAATATGTGACCCAGTACAAAGGCGCTTTTCTGCGAGGCCACAAGCTGTGGATTATCATGGAATACCTGGGCGGCGGATCCTGCCTTGATCTGGTAGGCCATTGCTGCTGCTCACGACTTTATTTCCCCCTCTCATGACTCCGTTGCTGACCATCCCTCTTCTGTAGCTGAAACCGGGAACCTTTACCGAGGCCCACATCGCCATCATCTGCCGTGAGCTTCTCTATGGAATCCAATATCTGCACAGCGAAGGCAAGATTCACCGCGATATCAAGGCGGCCAACGTCTTGCTGTCAGATACTGGCAAGGTGAAGCTGGCCGACTTTGGTGTCGCCGCCCAGCTCACCAACATCAAGTCTCAGCGCAACACGTTTGTTGGCACTCCGTTCTGGATGGCCCCTGAAGTGATCCAGCAGGACGGGTACAGCTTCAAAGCAGACATCTGGTCCTTGGGCATCACCGCCATGGAGATGGCCAATGGAGAGCCTCCCCTGTGCCACATACACCCCATGAAGGTGCTCTTCCAGATCCCCAAAAACCCACCACCAAGGCTAGAAGGCCATTTCAGCAAGGACTTCAGAGATTTTGTGGCGCAGTGCCTCACCAAGGACTGCGCCCGTCGACCCACCGCCAAAGAGCTGCTGCGACACAGATTTATCCGTTCGGCGGGCAAGGTGGAGGCTCTCCAGGAGCTCATCATGCATAGGCAGATGTGGGATGCGAACCGCAATCGCCAAAAGCATGCCATGTACTACCAGGAAACAGTGCAACCCGTCTCAGCAAAGAACAATGACGTTGAGGCCTGGGTGTTTGACACTGTGAAATCGGCTGCTCCAGCGAAGCGATCCACTGTCAAGCATCGCAAAACATCGTCTGTGCTGTCCACTGCAGAAGAAGCAGTTCGCAAGTTGGACATCAATGAGAGCTCTCCTAGTCCCTCGTCTCCAGCTACGAGCACCGTCCGCAAGGCGACGGTTCGGCGCAAACCTTCCATCATGCAAGTTCCCTCGTCGTTCGCTAATGGCTCGCCTCGAGGCCCAACCATTGCGCCGAAAAGGCCCCTTCAGCCGGATACGTCCTTTGGGAATTCCTCTGGATCGACTATGCGTCTGCACCGAAGAGCTCCATCGGATAGCCCGGCTGGCCTGCGCGGGAGCAGAAGTGCAACTCCCGATGACGATGTCTTCGTCGATGAGAATGCAACCAGGCCGTCTCCGGCTCCGGCCGTCACGCCATGTGAACCCCATAACAAGGAGGGTGTGTTGGGGCGGAGGCTCTGGTCTAAGGCATTGGAACCTACGCTTGCCGACTTACACACGCAGACGTTTACGAAGCGAAAGCAAGAGGCGCTGGCCAAGGTGTCCGAAGCCTTTGCTGCACTAGATGCAGTTGATCCCGAGGGAGCTTACTACTTCATGCACAATCTCGTCCTCGCCGTGAGCCAGGATGACAAATTGGACGCGGCACTCTTACGCCATCGCACTCAAAAGATACCCGATGACGGCACTCCCCAAGGGACGGTGCTCGTTAGGAACTCGACACCGTCAGCGAGCCCTGCCAAGATGGTACCTGGCTCAGCAAACCCCCGCTACAAGAGTCAACGCCGGCGCCAGCTTGATTCGCCGCTGTCAAGGGAGTCTCTCAGGGGACAAGACAAACCAGCCATCGAGGAGAAGTATCCTGGACAGGAAGCTCAGCCGGGCATGGAGCACTGCAAGCAACTGTCAGACGTGCTCTACAACCGGTGGGCCGATGGTCTGCGGATCCGATGGCCGGCCATATGATTCAACCCACGTTGGAGACAAAGCTGAATGGCTGCGTCCGAAGAGTTCGGCTTTGATCGATGTTGATGAAGTGAAGTAACGTTGGGCTTCTCACGCGGAGTGGAGGTACCGACGATGGGTTCTGTTTTTTTGCTATCTTTCCATGTGATATAATCACGTCTTTGCATATCGAGTCCAAGTTGGCGGACGGAAAGCGATGATCAGGAGGAAACGAGGCGTTTAGGATCTGCGTCTACTTTGGAAGGATTTGGTCTGAAACTGGAAGCTGGCGATGGAATTGGAGCACATATTTTGGAAGTTGGAATGAGCCCCTTTCTGTCAACATTGGGTGCCTTTTTGTTTGATACTCTTGTTCTTTCTCTTCTTTTCTTCTTCCATTCTTTTCTTCTTCTTCCCCTTCCTTTATTTCTCCGTATTCTCTGTGTCTGTTTGTCGCCTTTAGGGTCTAGGAAACGGGGCGTTTGGTGGGGTGATTCAATTTCTTTTGCTGCCCAAGGGACCGAATGTATGTGTGCAATCATGTAAGCCAACATGGAAAGGGAGGATATCTGATTGATCATTGCCAAATTGCCATGCCAGTGGATATTGACGCCAGTGACTGCACATCTCCCAAAGTTATCTTGCCGTAGAGGAGGTATATGTGTGTCCTATGTTGTGGATAACATCTCCTTCGCTTCAACGCTCCGTATGTCAGGTGGTATTTAAAGGGTCGCTTGTTCCGAGATCCAGCTTGATTCTCCAGTTTTTGAACTCCTCTGTCAGGATATTGCCGTGTCCTGTCTCTTCAACCTTGTAGACTTCGATGACGGGGGAGTGAGCATTACGCCGAGATATTCTCCATACCCCTTCGTCGTCGATGGTTTGTGTGAGCCCTGAACACAATACTTAGCACACAAAAAACATGGACAAAGGGGAGAGTTACTAGGAATTTATGATGGCCTCTGCCACCACACAAGAGGTATGCTAGGGGGTGAGGGGAGGGGAGGGGAGGAAAGAGGGAGAAACTGACACTCCAAGAAAGCAGCGGCAAAGTTGACACAGATATCCGCGTTCCAGGGTGCATTCGGCCGCGCGTTGACCGTCTGCGGGATCTGCTGCGTCTCCATCTCCTTGATGTCGACGAGGACGCCGTCGCGGGTGCGGAAGCCGACGATGATTTTCGGGACGCCGAGGAGGAAGGACTGGATCCAGTACTTCATGAGCTTGCGGTGGAAGGCGTCCATGTCGCCGGCGTGGCGGACCTCGGCGCTGGTCTTGAGCTCGACCCAGTTTATGGGGGCGCCTTTTTCTTGGGGCTTGCTGTCCCAGACTGTGTGTGTGTGTTTTCGTTGGATTAGGGATTCAGTTGATGATGTAACTTGTGGAATTGCATGGCTTGTGGGATAAGAGGGAGTGAGGAGAACCCGGGGAGGGGGAAGAAGGGGGGACTTACTTGCGTCGACTTCGCCCCCAAGACACAGGACGGTCTTGCCGATGCCTGTGCGTACGATGGAGCAGTATTGCTCCTTGTTGTTGACGACTTGTGTTTCTCTGCCTTCGATGAAGTCTCTCGATGTCTCTGCCCATGGAGCGGGAAGCGTTGAGAGCGTCTCGAACTTGTAGCCTTGATGTATTGGTCAGCGCACACAGAAGACACCGAGGGAGAAAAGTTGGTGATTCACCCCAGAACTGCATGACCTCGGGTGGTGGTCCCCTGCCAGGATTGCCGCGGTGTTCGTTTTGTCTCGAGAGCATCTTGTGTGCGTGGTTGTCTTCGATGAAACTGGCGTTGATGGGCATTAGGAGCTGCTCGGTTGGACTATGATGGTTGGTATGGCTTACATGGTGCCCTATTGAGATTTGACCGTGTTAGAGATGTGAATGGGTGCCACCTCAGTAAGATGGAGTGAAAGACATACCTGATATAATGTGGCATTCATCTCAAAGCTGCCTGTGTCAGATCAATTTGACGAGAAGAGATGAGAGTGAGATTCTACCCGTCATATTTCTCAAACGGTGCAGCCAATATCTATATTGTAAGCGGTGTTAGATGAGTAGGTACTGCTGCTACCTCGTCTCTGTGTATAAAGGGGTCGTACCTTGGTCATCATGCCTCGCCAGGTGACTATCTTTGCATCTATCTTTGTGCCCGTCTCTTTTTCGTGCAGCATAATGGCCTTTAGCAAGCTGTCGAGATGCTCATCTTGAGAATCGTCATGCTTCACAAAGGTGTTGAACCCTCGAGACAGGTCGACCCCGAGCTGCGGAGGATAATAGTATTTCAGGGACGAATCGTCAGGGCGAAACTCATGGTTCTCGTCATAAGAAAAGCAGGCGATTTCCTGTACAAGGTAGTGTTAGGCGTTAGCAGCATTGGCCAAATACTTTGGAATGCCCGCGTCATGATGTGCCTTTACCTTGGGTCTCTTCACGGGCTGGCTGGCGCCTACGAACCGCATTACCGGCTGTACGGAGAAGCTGGGGGGCATCTTGGAGATTCGTATTCGCGACACGTACGACCGCGTCGACATGTGCTGTGTTCTACTTCATTCAGCTGGTATATTAGAAGAGCAGCATGAGTTATAGATGAGTATGAAGGTAGCAGGATATCAACAAGACGGCTCAACGGCACGTGGAGATGAGATTGAGGTGAGAGGTGAGAATAAAGTAACATGAATATTGAAATGAGGTTGAGGCGCTCTGGAGGGTCCAGGCCTTGTTCTAGCGCGTTTGCAGGGAGGGCTGCCCGCTGAAATCCAGAGAGCTGGGGTCCTGTGTAGTGCCAAGAGGCATATGTACACCGTACCTGGCGCAGCAGGGGCTGCAGTATGAGTGCCCAGGTAGCGCTACAAACATCCCACCCTAAAATCCAATGCGGCATGACGACTTCTCAGATCGAACAGCCGGTTGGACGGCAATCCAATGCGTTGTTGCAGCTTCTCATGCAGCCCAAGCTGGGGTCGGAAATGCATCCACGACGCCACTGCAGTTCCGCGGCCCGGGGCTAGAGAATCGTTTTAATTGATTGACGTCCGGCGTTTGGTTGCATTCTCTGGGCTGACTCTGCATCTCGGGGCGGCGAGTCTCGGAAGATTTTCCCGTTTGTGCAGGACATCTGCGAGCCGTCCGGGCCATTGAGAGGCATACAAGTGGTGATGCGCCTCGTCTTGACTGTATCACAAGGGGCGCATATCGTATCTACCTTATATAGAAGCACCAACTGCAGGCTACGAATGATATCTCCCAGACGAATATAGGGGCTCGAGCAGCACTCGTGATCTGCACCTGTGATAGGTAGAGCTGGCTTTTCTTTCTTTATCTGAGGCATCGTGGAACCAGGACGTTTGAACGCGGCTCAAGTTGCTTGTTCTTTGATGTTCTCTTTGTCCCCATTGTCGCTCGCTCTGCCGCCCATGGAAGCCATTGACGCTGCCCGGTTACCGGCTGAGCGCAAGGTGAGCTTCTTTGGCTTCCATTCTACTCCCCATCACTGCCAGCCAGTGAAGAGCACCAAGGCCGGCCAGTTCCAGCTGCTGGGCGGCACCACCACCGACCTCCCAAGTGAATCCACGGCGACAGCCTACAAGGGTCCGCCGCGCATGTCGGGCAAAGGTGAGGCGGGCAGGAAATGACTTTTCTTTCATTCGATGTTTGTTTGGCCGAACAGTGCACCAACAATAGCCAATAAACAACTTGAAAGTGTTTGTGCCAGCACCACGAGGTCAGGCAAAGGTCAGTCAGGTCGAGGTACGAAGTACGTCAAAGGGAGCGGAGGGGCCCAGCAGAGGAGATTAAGTCGGGCGTTGAGGCCAAGCGAGATTCTTCCTTCTTCCACCTCTTCAGCACCTCGACTCTGCGCATTTGACACCCGGCCATCTCCTCCAGCTTGTTACCTGTGCAGCGTCTCTTGGACCTTCTCTTTTCTCTTCTCTTCTCCTAGGATCCGTTGATCAGAGCCATCGTCTTCTCCTTCTCTTTTCATCTACGATACGAAACACAAGTCTGCATCATCCGTACCGATTATTCTGTTTCACTTCATCTTCATTACATCAGCACCGACACGAATCACCAGGTACGAACGACACGCTCGACACTCTGCCAGCCTCGCAGTCGCATCACCAACAACACGCCCAGTCTCGTGTCTTTGTCTGACACCAGTTTCCCCCCCGTCCAGTCCCCTGTCAGCGGTCGGACCCTTCGCCTTGCGCTCGCCCCGCCAACCAACCAGCGGATTTCGCCTCGCTGGAATTCAGAGGTTGGCGCCTCCACGTGATTAGCCAGCCGGCAGCTCCCCCAGCCAAAAGAGTCGCCCTTCTTGTCGCATCGCCCTTGTCCGACCTTCTGAAATCGTCGCTGGTGGGCCGCTGGCGCATCTCAGCCTCGCCTCTCCAGTCACTCGACTTACATCAACCTCTGCACAGCGCCCTGCGCCAGAGTCTGCCAGACGCTTTGGCTCGGGCCGCCTGGCTTACAGCAACAGCTTCAGTGCCGCGGAGCTGTTCCCGCCCTCTTCAGCTTCAAGTCCCAGGCAGACACCGCGATCTCCGCTGATTCGTCTCATTCAGGCCAATGCCGCGTAGAACCACTTCTAAGAAGTCCAGATCCTCCAAGAAAAAAGCCCCAGAGGAAGAGTTCTGGGAGATTACGGGAATTCTTGCTGAAAGGACCGACAAGGGTTTCGTCGAATACCTCGTCAAGTGGAAGGACGACCCCAAGACCGGAAAGGAGTATCCTCCTGAGTGGGTGAGTCTGACATGATGCTCGCCGCCTGCATGCTTTATGCGCGTAAGGTAGTTGGACGCTGGACTAACTTGCATGGAAGAGTAGAGAGGTAACATCTGCGGCCAAAGAGGAATGGGAGAACATAAAGGCTGAGAAGCGTCTCCAAGAAGACCAGCAGCAGAGGCAGCAGCAGCTTGAGCTACAGGCTGAACACCAAGCTGAGCCGGGACCAGCGCCGGGCCCGGAATTAGACACCCAGAAACTGCTGCAAGAGCAGCAACAGCAAGAGCAGCAGTCGGAAGAGCAGCAGTCGGGACCGCCAGACCACGACGAGCAGCAGGCAGACCAGAAGGAGTCCTCCTCGGATTCAGACAGTGACGATAGTCAGCCGCCGCGGCCTGCTCATCGGCGACGCATAAACCAAGGTCAGAAGAAGCGTCCGCGCTCAAACTCATTGAGCTCGGCATCTTCGAATTGCTCCCTTGCTCCGCCACGTAAAGTTCTCAGAAGCGACACGGGCGGGTCTCTTGAGCCTCCAGTATCTCTTGTGTCCTCACCTTCGATCCCTTCGCCGTCTGAAGTCTCGGAGCTACCTGAAGCAGTCGCCTTGGACCTACCTGACGTCGTCGTCTCGGATCTGCATGACGGAGTCGTCTCTGAGCTGCCTGACGAAGTCGTCTCGAAACGCAATTCGCCAGAGAGGTCTCGGTCTATGGTAGTGGCGATTCCCGAGCCTGCGAATATCAATCGAGCTGATTATCTGAGCATCTTTGGTTCGCAATCGAGCGGCAATTCCACGCAGCCGGTAGCCGAACGCGACAGTCAGGACAGCCTCTTCTCCATTGCGCAGAGCAGCCAAGCCCCAGCGAGCCAGGGGATTGAGAGCCAAGAAACTGTTGGTCAAGGGACTGTGCCGGACTCCCAGGAGACATCGGATCGATCTTGGACTCAAGCTCAGATCGACGTATTGCCTTCATCTTGCAGGCTGACTGATCCCCAGCCCCCAGGCAGCGTACCAGACTCCAGCTCTCGCGTCATTCCGGATTCTCTCGAGGGTCCCTCGACAGCAGCGACACATCAGTCCAGGGCCACTCAAGACCGACAGGCATCATCACCGTCAAAGTCTCTCAACGCACCCGAGGCCCCCGTTCAAGAGTCTCATGAAACTGGCAGCCCTGACATTCCATCACGCCAGCCCGACGAGCTGAGAGACGCCACAGGCCCCCGCAGCCCTGCTCTGTCCGAGTCGGTGTCGCACAGCACGCCTGCCTCCCGCGTGCCACAGCCTCCGGGTTCCTCAAGCTCGGCAGAGGCCATACTTACGCAATCGGACGCGAGCCCGAGGTTTCTTACTCAGCCGCCCTTTTCGCTCCTCCTGGAGCCTCCGCAGAGCTCTGTTCATAGTCGAATCTTTGAATCGCCTGCTCATCCTGTTGCCGAGGTTGTTTCCACCACCGCCTCTGGCCCTTCATCTGCTTCAGACCCAGGAGCTTCTCAGGCTGCTCAGATTGTTGCTCGCGACTTCGAGCCACTATCCCAACATCTTGCAGAAAGCTCGTCCCCGTCCGAGTCTGAACAGATCCGCCATCAACTGGAGGCTGTCGCTGTTCCATCACAGCCCACAGCGCCAGCAGGTGTCGCAAGGCATCAAACAACAGCTGCAACACCGCCAACGAAGCAATCAACCCCCCTCAGTTCTTACAAACGTCGCAGAATGGAAAACGAAACTCCAGAGCAAGCTGCCGCAAGGCGGCATTCGGCGCTGGACGCAGAGCTCTCAGGGATATTCCGCTGGGACGATGATGACGACGAGAAAGCTGCCTCGGCTCATGTTGCCAGTCAGCCGGTGTCCCAGCAGACACAGCACGATCAGGCTTCGGTCCACGAAAACGTCGAGCACGTTGCGCCGGCAGAGGAAGGAAGCGCGCCTCACGCCCACACCGAGCTGCCTCTGCTAACAACCGATATGCACCATGCCGTCGTCGATTTGCCCAGCAGCCAGGGCAGGGATTCTCCCGAGCACGCGAGACCAGCAACAGCTCATGCGGCTGTGGTACCTGAAATTGAGGGTGTCGCCACATTAGATACAGCAGCCGAACCACAAGCCCCAACTCCACAGAAGCCGGTCGCCGCAGAGTTGGCCGATATTTTCGGTTCAGCTTTCGTCGGGGCGGACTTGGAGCTACCCCCTACAACTGCCCCTGAATTCATACATGCAGAACAATCTACAGTCTCCCTTGCCGACATCAGCCGCCAACCAGAACCAGCATACAGAGACATTCCTTTGGTGTCTTTCGTAAACCCGGAGGAGACTCTAATGCAGGAATCGTTCACGGACACTGCTCCCTCTGAGCCGGTTCAAGCTGAACACAGCCCCAGTGAGTCATCGGCATCTTTCGCAGGACCACCATCAGCAATCAAGGAGCATATCGTGACTCTCCCTTACCAAGCAAGCCTGCGTGAGAAGTACGACAGTATCATTGTCGCATACAAGAACTCGATCAAGGCGTTCAACAGGTCATTCAGCGACGAGGACTACTCGGAGCCTGACCTATCTTTAGTTGCCCGCATTGACGAGCTTTTCAACGATTTATTGAACTTGTGCGATTATCCGGGGGATGCGGTGGGCAGCGACCTGGAAAAACTGTCTCCGGATGATCAGGCTAAGTATTGCTGCGATGCGAACCCAAAGTTCAACTTCCTACGTGAACTATTGAGAGGCGTCGAGAATCATCTAAACATTTTGATCGTCGCTCGCTCACCAGACCTCCTCCGTCTCCTATGCCATCTGGCATGGGCTCTCAAGATGCCGTTTAGTTGCAAGGCTACTGGCCACGTCGATCCTGGTGGTTCAGGCCCCAAGATGGTCCTCGCACTGCCGACGGAGTTTGTCGACCCCCAAAAATTTGATGTCGTGATCGGATACGACCATTCCTTTAGACACTCTTCCATCGCACGGGGACTATCAACTCACTCTGGTGGCAGCAGGCATCCGCTCGTTTTGGTGTTGGTTACGACCCATTCGATTGAGCATATTGACCTTCATATACCGGAGGATTTGACCCTGTTGGAGCGGAAGAGCGTCCTGATCTCCGGGATTGTGCGCGCTCGAGACCTTGTGGAAAGGCCTGATCCCAACCACCCTGAGCCACATGAGATTGCTGCTCAAATCATCGAGTTCCTCTCGAGCGATGAAGAGCCGTTTCTGTTTGAACCGACCCCCCTCCCGGAGAATATTCTCGACGTCTACGTGCACTCTCAATCGCGGTCACAATTGCCAAGTGTCGTCCAACGCGACCCGGAAACTGGCCGCAAGCGCAAGCATGTAGGTGTCCCCCAAGAGGCCGTGCTAACCGCATTGCGTGTTTGAGTTGCTAATGTAGAATGAATCCTAGAACGAGTCGGATGAGTTTGAGAGCAAGCGGCCACGAGTGCTTTCTGCTGATGAGGCAGTATCAGCTATTGGAACAGGTTTGCCTCCAGTATCCGACGAAGTCAAGGCGCTGTTGAAATATGCCACACCGAGGGGAGACACCTCTCGACCACAGGTGTTGATCAACGTACCACATACCGCGTTGCAGGTATTGGCTGAAAAGGTATGCTTTCCAAAATGCCCATCAACATTCGCATAGACGTCTGGCTAACGACCTCCAAAGTTTTCGGATTACGAGCACCGCCTAGAAGCTTCCAATCGTGATGCAGAATATCGAGCTGTCATCACAAGCCTTGAGAAGCGGGTCAAGGAGTACGAGAGATCAATGCACAAGATCTATGAGACCGACCGTGCTGCGCTCCAAGACCGCTCTCGGTTCGAAAGCGAGAAGCGTAAAATAGAGGTTGCCATGCAATCTGCCGCGGAACAGGCAGAGAGAGAAGCCGAAAAAGCGAGGAAGAAGATTGCAGAGCTGGAAGCCACTGTGGCGCGGCTGACGCAAGATCCGAATGCCTCCGATCCGCAGGATACACCTCTGGCAAGATCCGAGAAGCTTTTGCAGGAAGCGCAGGCTAAGATTGTTATGCTCGAGAAGCGGTTGGAGAATGCCCATCGAGAGGCAGACTATATCCGGTCGACGTACCAGGACGCTTCGTCGAGGGCATCGGAACTGCAGTCGGAAAACAACCAACTCAGAAGACAAAACGAAGACCTCAGCGAGAAGGCTGCTGAAAATTCGGTTCGAATCCATGAGATCCAGGAGAGCAATACTGCGCATATCTATCTCCAGCAGATTGCAGAACTCAAGGCTCAGATCCAAAGCAGAGATATGGAGCTCGAGCGTGCTCGTGAAGAGCTTCGTCAGCTTAAGAACGGACGGCGAGAGACCCGACAGTCTAGCGTACCACGGAGTCCACGCATGGGCATGATGAGCCCGCGAACCATTGCCCGAGGGTACGGGGCCCCATCTAGCAGGGGGGCCAGTCCTGCTGCGGGCGGCGAGGGAATGCAGTTTTATGGGCAGCAGCCGGGAAATGGTCGATGGGATCATTTGAGGGGATGATGGGGAGTGTAAGTTCTTCATAACTTCTCCTACTGCTGCCTGGGGAGGAGAGGGATTCAGATGGGGATCTTGGAGGATAGTTCGGATGCGGTTGTGTTTTTCACGAGTCGAGTTTCTGATGCTTGACTTGGGTTGGGGAGGTGTTGTGCCCTTCTTTGTTCTCTATCTTCTTTTCTTCGTCTTGTGTTTTTTCCTTTACTCTATTCCCCAAGATTTACCCCCTTCGATGGATTTCTTTCTTTCTTTCTTTTCATTCAGGAGGGATTTGGCAGCAGGCGATTTGCCTCTACACAGGGATCAAGATGGATACGTGCTTAGGTATATAGAATGGCATAAAGGAAGGTCTCTCACGGCATTTCACATATTTTTCACAAGAGACACCACGCGGAATCGAATAGCGCGAGCTATGTAGTGACTGCTCCGGGACGTTGCCAGGATACCAAATGTGACTGAACTGGTACTACACAGCAACAACAACCACCATGATACCAATTGTGACTGAGTAGGTACTACTAGGTAAGAGATGATGCAGTCAAGAAATTTATAAAGTGTCTTTTTCTTTTTCCTCTTATAAATAGAGACTGTTTGTTGAAGCAAGGTTTGTAGCTTGCAGCAACAGCAACGACAACAACAGTAGGGAGCAGTATACACTATATGCTTCAATCACACTTATCAGACATTTGGTTTTGTGGGAAACTATACCTCCCGCTTCTTCTTTTTGTTCCCATTAAAACCCGCCTTTCACTTCTCTCTTCGCCGTCCCGCTTCTCTTTTGCCTTCCCAGCACTGAAACTCACACACTTCAACAATGTACAAGACTTTCTTTTCGTTTGATTAAACCCTCTCCCTGATGGTTGGGGGAGACAGGAAAAAAAAGAAAATGTAGCGAGTTGGGCCCGTTTATTTCTCCTCGGGGTAGAGGTCCTCCTTCAATGAGACGCCGAGCTCTTCCCGCAGGGGCTTCAGCTCGTCGAGGTACTGCTGGTACTGGTTCTTGTTCTCGACCTTGGCCTTGATGCCTGTTTGTAGTGAAAGTGCCCGTCAGTATAACTTGCCTCGAGGGTTATGAATCGTAGTGTGTTGTGACGTGAGTGCTTGCGTGACGCAGAGGCATGATATCACCGCGTGCCATTGTGTTGACATGGCATGGCGCATCTAATTGCCCGGGTGTGGAGAACGGAGCTAATGACTCAATTTCAGGTGCGTACCTTCGAAAATGCGGACAGCAGTAGCAAAGTCGTTGACTCTCCGGGCGGCCTTGAGGGCGGCGGCGACGACGGAGGGCGAGGGGACGAGGTCGTAGGCGAAGGCGTTGTTGAGGTTGCGCTAGAAAAATGGTGAGCTTAGCGGAAACATCATACGATGTGGTGTAAGATGGACGTACCTGGAGCTCGAAAACGTCCTGCACGGCGTCAAACTCCTTCTCGAATCTGCTCCGGGGGTCAGTTTACCCATATCGAGAATGAAAAGCTCAGTGACGGAAAAGGGTTCGTTGAGTTTGGAATTGCCCAGCGCTTCTCGTGTTTTGTTGCTTGTTTCCGCCCATATTTTTTCTGTCTCTCCAGCTTCCCTCCTCTTGCTGAAATTCCCTCCGCAGCAGCGCAATTCCTCTCTCAATTTCCTCCCCAACCGCCGCACATTGGCGCATAAGAAAAGGTGGTCGAGCCTCACCTGGCAGTGAACTCCTCAAAGGTCTCCTCAGCATGCTCGGCCCGTCGGGAGGCAGAGACGCTGAAGGGGCGAGCGGCAGCAATGGCCGAGCGGGCAGCAGCGAAAGGCGCGGGACGGACGGCGGAGGCGCGGACCATGGAGGAGCCGCGGGCGGCGGCGCGGAGCAGAGCGGCGGGCTGCATTGTGATGATGCTGGCGAGAAGAAGAAGAAGAAGAAGAAGCGAAGTTTGCCTTGCGGAGAGGAGAGAGGCCGGGCGGTCGTGTGTCTGTTGGCGTTGAGGGAGCTTTCGGGTCCGATAGGCTGGCGAAGAGGTGATTTTGGAAGAAGCAATGGAGAAATCGTCTGAGGGCGGCATGATGACTAAGCGTGCGGCATTGCCTGATTTACCCGGCCAAAAGCGGGACGATACGGTGCGAATTGGGAATCATGGCGGGGCTCCTGCTGGGCGCGATGTGCGCTACCGAGCACAGTGTGTGAGGAATGTGCGTACGGGTTGTCAGGGAAGCTGGAATTGGAATGGCTGAGCTTTTTCAATTAGGCCAGTTTCTATTTGTCGACCCAGAGCTGCTGCTGATACCGAACCTCCGCGCAGCAGCTGAGCAGCGGTTGGTTGGCCGGATTGCCATTTGATGGTTCATATCGTAGCTGGTATTAGTCCGTACCTATGCATACTTGGGTTTCGATGTCATGATGGCTGTCTTACCTACATAGAATTGGTACATGATATTGGATATCACCAATCCATAATCGGTCGTGACAGGTGAATCAATACTACTACTTGCATCCATCAAGGATCAGTGCGATCGGAAGGGATGTTAGCGATCACAATCCTCGGTTCCGGGTGTCGGGGATCCTGGCCGCGGCAGCAAGCGGCGTCCGATGCCACCGGGATCCCGTCGACGTGTCTCGAGGCCGAATTGCCGTGCAGTCACTGCTTCCAGATGCCAATTGTCGAGATTGATGGATGTAGATGCTCGACCTGTCATGTTGGTGCATCAAGTGAGAGTGTAGTGCAGTCGTATGTATGTATTCCAAGACGATGGCAGGATGGGTTGTTGTATCCCCTACCAGAGACAGCGGGCACGGGCCCAGCAAGGCTCCGATGCTTACCTTTTCAGCTGCCGCCCTGCCTGGTGTCTCACATGGCCAAATGATGGAGTGACGGCATGTCCAAATTGCCCTGGAATACCACTACTAATCCGTCGTCCAAGCACGGCGTCCGCGCGGCCCCGAAATTGCAGTTGGGTCGCATCCAGCTCCAGATCGGTGGCCCTTGAGATGCGCGCCCGGGGCCGAGTCACGTGCGGCCAGTGCAGCAGCAACTTCGGCCAGAAATCGACCTTTGCCAGACCTCGGATTGGCCGCCTGGCGAGCCCATTGAGCAGCAACAAGGCCCAATCACATGCGCCAGACCTCAACTTGGCGTCACCGCCTGCAGACGCCAAATTTCCACTCTGGAAAAAGGGGACGAGCCGCTTTTGCACGCGGGCTGGAGTTCCTTGGTCGCCCAAGTAACGGTACCCCGGTCCAGCCTCGAGGCCACCTTGCAGCCAGTCGGTGACGGTCAGGCACTTCCGCCGTCGCAGGTACATGTACACGTAGTCCGTAGCGCAACAATCGAAGCCCGCGGCCTTGCCTGTGCTAAAAGTATTTCTTCCGCCCTCCTCCTAACGCTTCGTCCTCTTTCCTCCTCCTCCATTCCTTTCTCTCCCCCGTTGTGCGCGAGTCTGCCATTGTTTTCTTCTTCCCCCGGCGTTGAGGTCGAAGCTCTACCCCTCCTTTTCTCGTCGCTCCTTCGCTGTGCAATCTTCCTTGCCTCGAATCCCATTGCGGTCTCGCCAATTGAGTCCGGCATCAACTGAAGTCGTTCCGCTTGGTCGCGTCGCGTGTCCACTCGAGAGAGGCGGTCCTTTCAATTCTTCCATCTTCCTCTTCCTCTCTCGTCCCAGGCTCTCCAGCCGCTTCATCGCTCCATCTGAGACCTGTTTCGTGCACAATTGCCCGTCATGGCCTCGGCTCCCGCCACGTTCTACGAGCAGTTGCCGCTCCCGACGCTCGATCGCCCCTTTGGCATCCATCTATGGCCCATCTTTGACAAGCTGTGGACGGCCGTCGTTGGCTACTCGGCCAATGACTTCAAGTTCGTGCCCTTCGAGACGCCCATGTCCACGCTCAAGTCGACGTCCATCTTCATCGTCATCTACTACCTCATCATCTTCGGCGGTCGAGAGTTGATGCGCAACCGCGAGCCCTTCAAGCTCAAGTCTCTCTTCCTCATCCACAACCTGTACTTGACCGCCATCAGCGCCTTTTTGCTGGCTCTCTTCATTGAGCAGCTGCTCCCTACTCTTGTCCGCAAGGGCATCTTCTTCGCCATCTGCAACCACGATGGCGGCTGGACTCAGCCTCTGGTTGTTCTCTACTATGTGAGTAACAAGAAGCTTGCGACAATTGAAACGTGGCGGTAATGGCCAGGGATCAGAAAGCTAACGACGCGCGAACCTTTAGCTCAACTACCTCACCAAGTACCTTGAGCTGCTCGACACCGTCTTCCTGTTCCTCAAGAAGAAGCCGTTGACCTTCCTCCACTGCTACCACCACGGTGCCACCGCTCTTCTCTGCTACACCCAGCTGATTGGCCTGACCTCCGTCTCCTGGGTCCCCATTGTCCTCAACCTGACGGTTCACGTCGTCATGTACTGGTACTACTTCCAGAGCGCTCGCGGCGTCCGAATCTGGTGGAAGGAGTGGGTTACTCGTCTCCAGATCATTCAGTTCATCATCGACCTTGGTGAGTACCATGCTTCCATTTCCGATGCTTTCTTTTCGATTTCCATTGACTGACTCGTTTGGCAAACAGGCTTCGTCTACTTCGCCTCGTACACCTACTTCACCTCGACGTACTTCCCCTACATGCCCAACGCTGGCAAGTGCGCTGGTGAGGAGTTTGCTGCCTTTGCTGGCATGGGCATCCTCAGCTCGTACCTGGTCCTCTTCATCTCCTTCTACTTCGCCACTTACAAGAAGGACGGCAAGGCTACTACTCGCAAGTCCCTGCGCCGCATGAGCCAGGCTCCTCTGCCCGACCCCGTCCACATGGCTGCCCACGTCAGCGGCAAGTCCAGTGCCAGCACCACTGGAGCCAAGACCAACGGTGCCACTACCCGCTCTCGCAAGGCTTAAGCCCCTGCTTGGTGCCATCGAGAGCTCTGGTCGAAAAGCTTTCCCAAGAGACTCGATGATCCAAAAGCTCCCTCGTCCGGGGACGACGAGCCTTCTTCTTTTTGACATATATACTACGAACTCAAAAGCACTTGCGGTCGCAAGGGCAATTACAATTTTTTAATCTCAGTTTGGACATGAGGACATTTGTTCTGGCAAATGAACCAATTGGAATCGCCCAACAGGCGATGATGGCATGTCTTTCCAATCATGACGACGAGGGTTGACGACGGCTACACGGGCTAATGTGGGGGAACGGAGGGAAAATGTTCTGGGAGGCGCAAGGCAAAGACGGCAGTTATTGTTACGAGAAAACGTCCCGGTGTGCGGAGCTGCAAATCGTACACCATGTACGGCAGCGTCACGGGCCAGGAAAGTCATGCCAACCTGGTCTGGTTTTTCATCCTTCTTTTTAATCATATTCTGCCTTTTTGCTGTACTATACTTATTTGTATGTATTCCTGATTCTCCTGGCATGCTCCTGGCCCAGGAGACGAGTTCGATAGATGGGCTGCGTGGCGGAGTGCATGGTGTCTGACGAGGTGTTGGCATCTGAGTTAAAGATCAGTAATACATGATGGTGTTGGATCTATTCATCGTCAAGGCACGTGTCAAGACGTGGTATGTGATGGGTGTGATGTAGTTTGGGCACATGTCTGTGCCGTGATGAAGCATGTGAAGATGCAGCACAGGGCTGACCTGGGACATTCATGTTGTTTGTTGCTGGGCAGCCAAAGGCCACTCGATTCCGATCAAGCCGGCACTTGTGGTAATATAAGGTAAGTAAGGCACATGCACGCCCAGTAAGCATAAGGTGGTAGCAAAAAATCCTCCGTAAACATGAACATAAGCTTGTTGACATGGCATGCAAGGGGTGGAAGGCCTCGTGCGATTGTCCAATGCACAGCAAAGCAAAGCAAGGCAAAGCAACATGAAGGCAGGAACAGAAATCCATAGGCGCCTGAGCGCGTCTCAGCGCCTGTCAAAAAAAAGACAACCTAAGCGGAGAGAAAGAAGAGGCAAAATTGCAGGCCTCGCTCATCACTGCCCATCAAATCAAACTGTCGTCAGAGGGTGAAATTAGCAAGGAGCGAGTTGCCGCAAATCAGACTGGACCCTGAGAGCCAATTGATATTCCAATGTCTCTTCCCCGCATAAACGTTGCTTGAGTGAGGTGGCCGCTGGAATCTTCCCTTCCAATGGGCAAATGCCAGCCAGTGGAAGTTGAGCGCCAATACTACTTTACACCTCGTATTTGCCCTCTGCCGGGCTGCGTGTTCACGTTCAATATTTGTTTTTTTCCTTTGGTGACCGGGATCCCCCATTTCTGGACAGAACTCGTGAAATGGATCTGTTCGTGTTTAAATGTCAGCTCGGGCAACGAGAGAAGCAGAAGCACTGGCCATGGACGCCACGCCGCCCAAACAGCCCCCAACCCGCGCACGCCCCCCTCTGATTTCAGAGGGCCTCCAGTTCCATGTCAGTGCAAAGCCCACTGCTCGCCAGGTGCCGCAGCTCCCTCTCATTAGCCGCTACAGGGACCCTGAGCGCAAGGGCCGCCGCCTGGGGACCCGGCGGTTGGGCGGGTGGCTTCCATGCTTCTCAGCGGAGGCTTCAGGCTTTCAGGTACCCGTACGGGCTTTTAGCACCAAGGAGCCGCTGTGGCGTGCAGAGCAGCTGCAGCAACGCCAATCGCCATATGCCGTCGGTGATTCCTCCACCTCATCTTCCTCGCGCTCCCTCCCTCTTCCTCTCACTTCTCATCTTTTTTCCTCTTCTTCCTCCTCACCCTCGACTCTTCTGCTCGCGTCCAGTCCCAACGACAATCTTCCAGCACTGGCAGCAGGCAGAAACAACAGAACACGACATAACACCCCTCTCCTTTTTTTGACATCTCAGATCCCGGTTCTTGCACTTGCTTGTCTTGCCCAGCAGAAACATCGCAATCCTCTCGTCTGCTTCCCGCTTCTGCACCGCCGTCGGGCTGTGGAGGGACCCCCAATTTCAGCCTCGCCCGATTGTTTCGCGGGGCACCAGCGAGCTTGCAAGGGATGCGCGAAACAACCTAAGCTTGAACCGACAGCTGTGGTCTGGAGCTTTCGCTTCTCGTCACGCTTCCCTGAGCATTTCTCGGCAACGGCAGCATCTGTTTTTGGTGCTCCTAATATCGTTTCTTCTTTTGTTTCTCTCTTTTCTGAATCTTTTATTTTTTTCTAGGTCTCTGGTTGTGATTTTCTGGTTTCAGTCTTCTCTGGACGCATTTCGCTCCTTTTTCCTTCCTTTGCCTCCTTTCGGTCTATCGCTACGCGTTACTGCCGACTCCTTCTTCAGCATCACCGCATTTCTTTGCCCGCTTTGGGCTGATTTGGTTCCGTTCCATCTAGTCCAGCTTGGTTCTGCAGCATCCAACCCCAACCACCACCGCCACAATGAGGTTCCCCTTCAGACGAAAGGACAAGAAGAAGTCGGAGGCGGCCAGCCCTCCTGAGGCACTGCGCCGCCCTGTTAGCATCAGCCGGCAGCCTTACTTCCCCCCAAGCCTCAGGTCGAGCCAGCTCGTCGCCGTTCTCCCAGCAAACGTTCTGCAGCGCATCTTCTTCTTCGTCTGCCCCCATTCTCTCGATGAGACGTACGATGCGTGCGAGGCGAGCGGGAAAGGAGAAGGTTGCATGCTGTGTGACCTGCGCGACCTGGCCCACTGTTCGATGGTGAACCGGACCTGGCACGACAATGCCATCAAGCTATTGTGAGTTTTGCTTGCCTGGAGCTGCCCCTTACCACGACCCCGTTCATGCACGTTTCCTAACTCGAATTTCCCCCCCTTTTCAGGTACCACAGCGTTCGGATTGACCAAGTCCACTACTGCAAGCTCGAGGCCTGGCTGGCCGAGAGGCGCAAGCAGACGAGATTTGACCGCAACGCCATTCCTGAGGACCCGGCGCAGGCAAGGCTCAGGCTTTTCCGCCGCACTGTCCGTGAGGACCCGACCCGCATCGGTAAGAGGGTCGAGTTCCTCAAGACGCCCTACCAGGTGCGCGAGTACTGCCAGGTGGAGCTGGCCCAGACCATTGCCGTCCTGCCCAGCCTCAAGTATGTTGATCTTCCCGAGGGCATGTTCTCAGACGAGTCGAGTAGTTCGACGCTCCGATTTGAAGTCCAAGCCAGATGCCCCAATATCCGCAAGATGACGTACAACGCAGGCTCGGAGAAGAGCCTGGCAGCGCTGGCTACCGGCCAGGTGTGGCCGCAACTCGAGGTTCTGGAGCTCAATGGCATCAGCGTCGACACCATGACTATGAGAGCGGTGTTGCACTGTTTGTCAAACCTCCGCGCCCTGAAGATGACGGACACGGAGAGCATTTCCGACGAGGTGCTGGCAGCCGCAGCGGGGCCTATCATGCCCTCATTGGAGGAGTTCGTGATGGAGGGGACTCCTCGGGTGACGGCCGCCGGCCTCATTGAGTATCTCGCTTGGCCCGAGACGCAACGCCAGCTCAAGGTCCTCACGTTGACCAATACCGGCGTTCACCCGCAGAGGCTTTCAGAGGTCTTGACCATGGCGCCATATCTTAAGTCGCTTGGCATGAAGACCAAGGTCATTGAATCCTTTCCACAGCATGCGGGCATCCCACTGCTCGCGTCTCCGAATCTCGAGACGCTGCGCTGGGAGATTTCCACCGAATCAGACAAGGAGGTGTACGCAAGCATGAAGGCCAGCTGGTACACGTACCTCGCCTCATCCGTGCTCGCAGGGTCTATGCCTAGGCTGCGCAGACTCTTCGTCCACGATGATACCTTCCCCGAGCAGCTTCAGGGGCTCCCCCCTCCCAACGCCGGCTTTGCTGGAGGGCACATGCGGAACGCGTCTCAGGCTTCCACCCGCAGCGCTCGCATGCCTATTCCAGGCCAGCCGAGCACGCCCACGTCCAGCACGTTTGGCAATCCGTTTGCTGCGCCGTTTGGGACCTCGCCCGGTTCGCCCGGTTCGCCTCAGTCTCAGCTTCAGTCTCCTCGGCAGCTGGGCGTGCCTCGTGAGCTAGGCGTACCCCGTGCGCCGGCCGCCCATCGCTTCAGTTCCAACAACCCTTTTGCGGCGCAGATCAAGCCTCCTGCCCCCCTGCCGCTCACCACGCTCGAGATCTACACCAAGACGGACGAGTACGGTAAATGGAACTTTAGCAAAGTGGACGCATTAACCACGGTAGGTCCGGCGCTACGACGTCCCGTCAGCACCTACGGCCTGACGGCAGATGTGGCCGGAGAGGGCTGGGACCGGGGCGAGGTTCGACGCAGCATCATGGTTGGAGACGGCACCGGACTCTTCTTGCCACTGCCTCCTCCGCCGGCCCAGGACGACTTTGGCCGCCGGGGATCTGGCGTGTCGGACAACTGGCGGCCCTCTAGCAGCGGCGCCGACTCTCTGCGCCCGCCACCTTCTCTTTGGCCTTGAATTCCTTCATGCTCTGGTAATTTTCGTTTTGGTTTTTTTCCCTGTCTTTCCGGTCATTTGCCGTTTCGGTGTCAAGGAGCGAGGTCATGAGGCACAAATCAGAGGCATGATGATTGATGATAGCAAACTGCTCTTTTTTTTTCGCTTCCTTTCTATTTCGATTTACCCCTAATTTTAGTGACCAGTGTAATATAGAGGGAGGGGAAACGGGAGGGATCTGGGATAGCATTCGGGGGACATGAGTTGGTTCATAATTTCCGTCAGCTTTGACGATAGATCTATACAAACCTCTTTGGCCCCTTGACCTGCCTCCGCTAGTTTGTTTGCTTGCATGCCCTTGGCGTCGCGGGAGAGGCATATCCGGGCCATTTATAGTACTCGGTGTGCCTGTCTCAGCTCTTGACCTTGATCAGATGATACGGCTCCTACGGCTCCGAGACCGAGCTTTGGAACGGGAAAAGACGCTGACTTGCAGTCATCTGGTTGATCGCGATGCGTCTTATAGTATAAGCTTACGGCAGCGCCATGTGGCAATCGTTCGGGTCGACCAACCGGACGGGACCAGCATGACATTTCTTGACAGCCGTTCCCGATGGGCAGCATCAGGGTTCAAGCATAAGGTGAGTGGAGAGAAGGGGGCCGTTCACACAGACTTGGCAGAAGTAGCCGTCATGTTCCCCGATGTGGGAAGCAAGGAGAGAAAAGGTTTCACTGAACCACTTTTTGAGTGCTTCTGCGAGGGTCTGTCTCTTGGTGTTCTGGATCCACATATGGCGCAAGTTCTGGAGATGGCCTTTCCTTGCGATGGCGGTTTTGATTATTTTTGCGCAGAAGTCACTTTTCAGGTGACTAGAGTGTGAATACTGTATGGACAATGGACAATGAGGGGGGGGAACTTGGCTGTTGGGTTTGAGAATTGGGAGGGGGGGCTGATGGGCAGTGGACGAGATGTTTTACTATGGTGCTATCCGTTGTGGGGGGGTGCTTTTGAAGACGTTGGATTGTTTAGTCTCGGGATTGTGTTGGTAGGGCTGTTCGAGGTGTTTAGGTACAATTTCGCCAGATATTCAGCATCAGGGTCAAACTGAAAAGTTCACTGCTATGTTATGGCATCTGCAAAACTAGGGGGCCGTGTTAATCACGTCTCTTGCTCCCGGTCATTGACGCAACCCCAAAACGTAGAGTGAACATCACATCCTCTGGACGAGCATGCGATTACAATTCAACTTTTCTTATCTAGTCTTCTTTTACAGTGTGTCAGGCCACGTTTCGTCCCGGCAACCGACAATACTACCTGTACGCTCAAGAAACAATCGTCAAACAAGGAAAACGTCGTTGACGGGGTTTTCCTATCTAAAGGCGGGTGGGGTTGGTGATTAAAACGCTCGTGGCAGTTGTTGAAACGGCCGGGTTAGAGCACAGATGACTTGTCTCTTTTTCCTCTGCAAGGAAAATTTTCTTGCTTCTTCTGTCACATGCATATTTTGGTCTATTGTAAAATTGACTAGGAATCTTTGAAGAGGTTTCTTGGGTGAAGGAGGTACTGAGTGTTGTATGAAGTACAGTGCTTCTTTGCGTCATGGTGTATAGAAGTACATGTTCGTGAGCAGAAGCTCATGTGGATCTACTTGGTAGCTGACAACACAGCCGGAATCCTGACGCCACGCGAAGCAGATCCAAAGACCGGTCCAAATTCGACTTTGACCAAAGACGGAGTAGACAGGCTTCTATTTCTGTGTCAGTTCTTCCCCCAGGGCCGATGCCTAGACCTGTTGTGGGATAGGAAACGTGGCTGGTACTTCCTCGTGGCTGGCACGGGCATGTTCAGATGGGCTTGAATGGGGGTTCGTCAGCTGTGGCGCATGTGAAAAGTGCCGGTTTGGCTTGGAGCTGTCAAAAGGGTCTGGTGACGCCATTTCTGGGGCTCTGGATTTATTACTGTAAACAGTGGGTGAGTTGAATTGCTAAAATCTAAGCATAGTATACGTACCATGTTGCTATTTCGAGGGGCATCATGATGCGGCATCAGCTTGTTCGCTTTAGCAACATGTTTAGTGAGAAGTTCAATGTTGAACAAGGCGAGATCGGAAATCATTGTCTCCGAGCACTACCAACAAGGGAGTCACCCACGTGGTTACTGAACGGCCCAACAGCACAGCCAGTAACAGTTCTCGGAACACACTGCAAGTAGTAGCAGAACACATGCACACAACAACAAACCTCATACAGTACGATGACTGTCCAGGTACATTACTATATCCCCCAACCACGAAAACGAAACGGCAATAATGTATGTGCTGCTGTTCCGGAATCCAAAAGCTCCGGCAGCCAACGAAGACATGTTTCAATCTTTTTTCTCAGATAACACAACGTGGCGAATGGGGAACTGATCTGAAGCTGAAGCGCTGGCCTGTGTCGCGGGGGTTGTCTGGTGCAAGTCAGATGGTTCGAGGTTCGACTTTTTCGGCGGCAATCGAGTCTGCACTAGCAAGTTTCCAGCCTTGTAGATTTTGAACCGTTTGGAGAAGATGATTGGGGGGGAAGTTCGTCTGGGTGGCGTTTTTGCTTGCGAGACGCGCAGTGTGGCAGCATGGAGGGGAAGATGATACGAGCACAAGAGTCGAGGCTGCGAATCCTCCCAGGGAAAAGAGGAGGGTATCAGGTCTATGGGTGGGGGGATGGCTTTCACAAAGGAGGATCTGTCTTTCGTTGCAGATTTCTCCAGAGACGCGGTGCACTTGCTTGATTGCTACCCTATTGCACTCTATCTTGGAAGTATCAGGTGGGCAGAGTGATTACAAAGGCATACCATTTGGCGCAGACACAAACAGCGAAACTTGCCGTAGGATCTGGTGTGACTTCAGATGCTGTAAGTAAATCAGGGGCTCGGTTTGAAGCGATCTCGGTTCGTACAAGCGGGAGGGGGGGGGGGAAGAACACACTTCTGTCATACCTTGCCGTACTACTACTTCCCATAAGGTACTCATGACAATGGAACAACTCGGAAATGCCAGTATCTGGTGCTGGCACTTCCGTACATACAAAAGGCGAGGTCTACGTGATGTATCATAAAACAAGGTGACCAACAAATTCACCAACAACGCAAGCCATTCTTCCTACCCCTCATCCATCTTGCATCCAAAAGTCGGTCAGGCGCAAGGAAGAAGGAAAAAGAACTCCGTAAAGGCGGCAGGATGGAAAGGGGGAGGCGAAAAAAGTAAAGTCGTTCTTCTCATGTATATGCCATCTATCTCATGCAAAGTAGGAGGGCCAATTCCCTCTGCGGTTCTTGCTTCGGTGCGGCGACGTGATTCGCGGCTGGTTGGGCGCGAGGCCATGCCCTGTTTGAGAGGTGGGTGTGCTGGCCCGGCGCCTACGTGAGGCAGCGAGGCTGGAGCTTTACTATCATAACCCTGGAGGCAATCCGGAGGGCATTGAGTCGGGAGGAGGGGAAGCAGTTCAAACGATGTGTGACGTTTGCGTTCATCAGGCAATCTGCTTTGTATGTATGTACATACGGGGGCGAGGTTGGAATCATGCCCGAATCTCGGGAAGAATATGCCCTCATCGCAGAAGCTACCCCCCAAGATGATTTTACCTACCTACTAAACGTAGGCTAGATCTACCCATATCTTTCACGTACGAGTATGTACAAGTAGTTGGTAATTTCTGCATCACTTCGAGGCACATGTGACTACTCCGCACGTCGTAAAAGACCATCGAAAGAGAGAGAAGTAGTAAAAAAAAAAAAAATCCCGAAAGCCTTGACCATGATGCATCAATGTCCATTCGCCCTGCATCAGGTTTGCAGTCCGTGCAGCATCTTGCAATCTTGTCTCATGGGAGGGGCTTCAATCAAACGTGGTCGGCAAAAGCGTGCCTTGCTATCTTTCTCGTCTCATGTGTGTGGCTTTAAGGCGTTCCGACGAAACAGTCAATATCATGATGAGGAGATAATGAGAGAGAGAGAGAGAGAGGGAGGGAGGGAGGCAGAAGCAAGAAGAAGGGGTTTGAAGCCGGTGATTGGTTATGGCTCTCTCTGGTGGTTGCAAGTCAAGGTGCCATCGAGATCGATACTTGATGCCGCCACGGCACTTCACTGGTCATCGCTTGTTTACTTACTCAAGGTATGTACATCATGAAGCAACAAAGAGTCAATGTGGTAGCATCTACCTTAGTATCAAACGGATGGGGCTGTTTCTTTAGCAGCGATCGATCCGATGCCGTCTTCGTCGCTGGTAATTGCACGGCCATTATCATTCACCCCAAGATTGCGCTGCAGATGGGCTTCATCGAGTGCTTATACCGAACCAAAAAAGCGCACAGTCCCTTGAGATTGCCATGAAATCCCAAATCAAATAACCATCAATTCCTAATTCGAGAAGCTGGGAACCATCCAGGGTCCGAGTGGGAAAAGTGCAGGTTACGCACACTGTCCTGCTGGCCTTGCAAGCAGAAGCAGGTGAATAAAATGACGACCTACAGGGAGCAGCGAGGTCGGCGTGACAAAGACGACGATCCGCCCGGGATGTTAAAGGGTTCCCTCGTATGGACATGTTTGCTCCCCATTCATTCATTTTACTGTACGGAGTATGTACAGTAATACGTTGTGTTGGCATCAGAAACCACAAGTAGATAATTCGTTGCTCCCATTTCTGGCTTACATGTACCTCCGTAGTCTTTTCTTATTTTCTTGCAGCCCAATCAACAACAGACGGGCTGCGGGCGTTCCCGTCGACGCACTTGGTGCGGGCTGGCGTCGTGGCCCCTGGAAGGGCCCTGAAGAGGGCTTGAGTTTAAGATCGTGGGCGTGCGCGATTGAGCCGCTGCTGCGGGAGTCACTGGTGGCTTAGGGCGTTGGGCAATGGGAGACGTTCATTCGACCCCCAAGGGAGAGGAGGAAGTGATCAGGAGATCAGCGAGGCTACGGGTCGGCCTTGGGGGATCTGCGTGGTTCTGATTCAGTTGGCGTGACGCATAGTATGTATGTCCAGGGGGAAGTGAGAACGTGTGATGACTGTGGTCTTTGAACGCTGATTGACTGGGCTGATGGCACGCGGTTGATGATGTGCTTGATGGCCATGTGGCAGTTCGTCGTCGACAGTCGATAATAATACGCTGTATAACTTGGTCTGGATGTCGAACAAGGTGGGAATAAATCAAACGTCCAAGTACCGGAGCCAAGCACCACAGTTCTGCGAGGTACGAGATGACTCGCAAGGTAGCACCCGGCATTGGGACGAGGTGGTGATACGTGTTGCGTGCGGAGAGCTGGTGGGACGTCACACGTGCATCCCGACCCAAGGCACGGGCAATGAGAATACCGGGATACAACTTAAGTACTGTATGGTACTTTTCTTGCCTGTGTCGATTTGCGACCTTCTTTTTGACTCTGTAACATTTTCACACTTGCTGCAAGCAGGGCAATTAGGCGGCAGAAGCGGCAGATTTGGGTGGTGAGGTGGTGGTGGTGGTGGTGGTTGATGATTAGCTGCAGACGGATTAGAGCTGCTGGAATGATGGCATTCTGCATGTGGTGGCTGGAGGAATAGCATTAAAAAGGTGGCGTCAACGGGATCGACTCCATGACAGCTTGGAAGTGGCGCATGAAGATGGCCAGAAGTTGCGTGGATGATATTCCGGAAGCTGTTTTCTGTGTCTGTCTTGGTTTTTAATAGCGAGCATGTCAGCGTGAGGCTTGAGGCGTGAGGCGTGAGGCTTGGGGACACGAGGTGAAGGCATGGAGATTCCGGGGGCTTGAGGCTTGAGGCTTGAGGAGGCTCCAGCCACAGCCTGGAACTGGAGTGTGGCACTGCCTAGTGCTGTAGGCGCTGGATTAAGTCAACCAATCTATCTGCAGCAGTCACATTCGTCGAAAGATGACAGTTGGGGAAAGCGAAATGGGCTCGACTGAAAGAGCTGCTCGCTCCGCACAAGGCAATGATGCCATGGAAATCGCTGTCGGTGGCAGGCCTGTGAAACGACATGCTTGCAAGGAGTCCAGGAGTCTCTGCCCTCATCAGTGACATGTTCCATGTTGGCCAAGTGCCAGCTTGTGCCAAGGCAGTGCAGAGTCGATTCAATGCTTGTACAAGAGTACATACAAGCGAACAACAGAACAAGAGCGTCGGAGGGACAGTGGTGAGTACCTACGGAGGTACAAGGCTTGAACAAGAAGAGATACTAATCTGCCTTAGCGCGACCGGCGGGTCCGCCATCCAACCCCCTGCCACCGCACAAGTGGACCCGCATGGTGGGAAGTGGAGGCCCCGTTCATCCAGGGTACACAGTGCGCGGCCTGCCGCATGCCAGACGGTGGAACATGCCATGCCTGCCATCACGTACTTGTATCTGTGGTGCCCCCTTCCTGGGCGCGTGCAGACAGAGGACGAGAAGAGAAGAAAAGAGACTCAGATTCATTCAATCTTCGTCCCGGAACGAAACACCCGTTTCCATTTCCTTTCTTCTTCTTCCATTCTTCCCTTCCACTTCTTGCACCGAGACGGACGGACGCGAACAGAAGCCTCATTCCATTCCTCTCCACCGCCCTTTATTGCCCTTCGACTTCTTCCATACCTTTGCTTGACGCCTTACCTTGCCTTACCTTATCCTTCACACCAAGCTTCTTCTTCCTTCTCACCAACAGTCTCTCTCTCCCTTTTGTCTGCCTTCTTCTTCCCTGTCGCCTTCTATTCGCCGATACGAGGATTGGACTGGAAGCCTCCCTGCGCAGCTACCACCACCAAAGGAGGAATCAGGAATCGATATCGGTTCACCAATTTATTGCCTCTGCGAGCCCTTGCCAATATACGGGGGAGCTTATCCAGGAGTCGCTTGTTTCTCCAGAGGGGCAGGACCACCACCCGATATCTCACCATTACTTTACATATATACGGCATCAACCTTTCATCCAAGCTCCGCTCGAGCTTGCAGACTCCCAAACATTGAGGATATCGACTTCGATATCGACTCGCCTCTAGCACAGCCCAAGTCGACGCCGACATGTCGACAATGACCATGACAAAAACCGAGGCCGTGCTGCCCAATGCACCGGCTCTGCCTCCCCGAAGCGCCCTGAGGGCTTCCCGGCTGCTGGCCACGATGCCCCAGAAGCTCTCGGAAGACCGACCCGTCCTCACTCCCGCCGCCCCGCATCTCCTCTATCTCTCGTCCGAAGAGGACGTCTCTTCTTCAGCCGACGACTTCTCCGACTGCGACTACAGCTCCGACAGCGAGCACAACGCGCAAGAGACGCCCGAGCAGACATCGACAGGCCACGACATCGCCCGCATGGTGTCCGTCGTCTTCTCCGGCAAGCCTTGCATCGTCCAGCTCTCGCGACGATCAATATCGCCCAGCTCATCGGCCGACTGCCCCGTGAGCAAGCTTACCAGGACGTCGACCGAACCCATCATCAGCAGCCGCAAGGGGTCCGCCAGCTCTACGTCGTCGCTCAAGATGGTTTCACAGCACCCTCCGCGGTCGAGCAGCATCATGTCTCCCGTCGCGTCGCCCTCGTTTCTCAACATGGATCCCTTCGCGGCAAAGGCGGAGCCCGAAGAGCCGGAACCCCAGCTCCGCAAGACGGCGCAAATGTTCAAGAGGACGCTCAGCCTGGTCAGGAAGCGTAGCAGGCCGAACCTGAACGCGGCGGCGTCCCGATCCCGCGAGGGCCTATCGTTGCAGACGTGCCCCATGGAACAGGTCGGAGAGGAGAGGGAGGAGAACCACATCAGCACCCCCCGGAGCGCGACATCAATACCGCCGCCCATGTACCAGGAGACGATGGCAGCGAGGAGAGCCAGCAGCTACTCGGGCGCGACGCTATCGCCGGTTACCGACGCATCGTCCCCCCTGTCACCGACTAAACGGATTCGGCAGGGCTTCTTGACGCGGCGGCGAAGCATCAGAATATAAGCATGAGCCAGCACACACCGCTCCCCTTCCATTCATCTTCTTTTCTATCTTTTCGACAACCGGATCCACATTCTTCTTTTTTTTTTTTTTTTTTCACGAATGCTCCGACCAACAGCTGGCCTCTACTTTCTTCCCCTCGCGCGACTTCTATGACGACGGTGCCGGAACCTTTCTCCTTTCTCCCTTTTCCTTCTTTTCCTCTCGGAATTCTTCAGGCGAGGCATTTCCTTTTTCTATGGCATAACAAAAATCGGGGGCACATTTGCACAGAGCGGCGTTTTCACGTGGGGATTCACATGAGGGAAGAGTTGGCCATGCATACGAACATGGCACTCTCAGGGAGGCTGGAAACTGCCTCGATATCGGCGTTTTTTCGTTTCGTTTTCCTTTTCACTGGGACAAGGAAAGCCGCGATGATATCAGCTGGCACATTTGTGTTTTTTTCGTTTGTTTTCGCTTTAGCCTACGCAAGTAGTCATGATGCTACCAATGAAGAAATCCTTGGACCAGGCGCGTTTCTTTTTGACCTCTTCTCTCATTTTTCGCAAAGTGAATCTTTTGTGTGTTCGTCAAAGTGAATAACTTGCGCGTGTCTGTAAGTCTTGTGACTTTTTCCTTTCCTGCTTGCTGGCTGCTGCCCTTTGCTGCCGCGTGGGCCGGCTGGGGCTCATACTGTAGAAAGAGAAAAAAACCTGGGTCTTCCTTCACCGACGTTGTGAGTTTGACCGGGGTCCGTGGTCTGATGGGCCAAAAAAACTCCTGCATTTTGCATTGGTGGCCATCCCTGTGCCGGCCGAGGCGGTGGCCGTGAACACGGTGTACTTTGTTTTTACGTGTGTTACCGAATTCTTTTTGGTTCCTTGTTATTCTGTTGGCCATGATATGCTTACTTGACGTGTAAACGGTCTGTCGTGGTCTATGTACTGTCGATATCTTGTTTGGGATGCTGCAGCACTGGAATTGATGCTATTGTAAGGGAATGGGTTCTTTGAAGCCCCGTCATCTCAGCTTGATGTTACTACTACTACTACTAGCCATTCCCTATTGTACAAGTCATGCTACTCAGTAGAATACGTGGCTGCCCGGAGCGGGGGACTGGGGACCTGAGGGGGATTTTGATAGTACCGGAAGATAGTACCGGAAGCTTCTTCCTAGCTCTTGGTCAACGGAAGCTCTTCCTAGCTCTTGGGTTAAAGCAAATTAACAGCCTGACGATGCTTGTTTAGTGGATAAGGCAGAAGCTTTCCATGTCAATGATTGCATGGAGGATTTCCAGACCGCCTACGAGTAGAGTAATGGGTATCAACACATGTATGAGATGGGTAGTAGTAGTATAGTAGTACAATATTCAGTCAAGACCATTACTCGTACTTGGGGAAGACGCAACAAAAGCCTGCAGCGTGTCATACTGTATGTACTCCGGGCTTTCCTAGATAATAATAATACCTCCGAGTAGAACCTGACAAGGCCTCTTTCTGCAAAGGTAAAAAGGGTAAACGTGGTCGACACGCCATGCTGGTTTCTTTTTTTTCCCCGTTGTGGAGTTGAAGATGTGTTGTACATGCATGGAGATGGAGTGCCGGCATGTTTTTACTACCTAGTGCTGGAAGGACAGTACATACCTTGTTAGTGGCTCTGAGTGGAGGAATGTTGTTCGACTGGCTGGCGGATGATGCCTGATGCTGGAGTTGGATTTGTATGACTAAACATGAAAAGGTTGGTGCATGTTGGGTTATTGTATGAGATGGCGGTGATTGGTGGGTTATAGATACTGAGTTGTCGGAGTTGTGTGTGTAAGTGACGGTGTGTTCCTTGCCTTGCGGCTCTGTTGATCGATTTGGCTTCCACTTCTATTATCATGCTGTGAGACAACAACACAGTAAGGACGATCACAGCAACAGTAACACCATTGCGGCTATGTATTTCCCCTTACACGTTACGCGTAACGCAATGCCCTCGTGCCTGAGCGTTCGCTGCACGCAACTTTCAACCACCTTACATGCTTCTCCCCCTGCGTCTTGTAGTATCCTCTTTTTCTATCTTCTTATATATGACATACTGTACGTCTTTTTGACCGCATGTATTGTATGTATGTAAGGGCGAGGTATGTACAGGCGTCGTGTGAGCCAATCTGCCTGCAACTTTGTGCTTTTTTGATGAACGGCACGCTGAGGAGCCATGTTTGCTGCTGCTTGCGGGTATGTATGTATGTACAGGCCACAGTATGAGACACATGACGGGGAAATACGTGACATACCTTACCTTACCTTTTACCTTGCATGGCATGCCTTTTGCGTACTGTACGTGATGACGGCGCTCTCAGGGACGGGATGGAGGTCGGGTTGCGGAGTATCAAGGCTGTTGCCCTCCAGCATACACACTATACAGTAACATACAAGTGTTTGGTATATTCCATGAAGGCGTTTCGCATAGAAATATGTTGTGCAAATGGTCATTAATTGCTCTTTATTTCTTTATTCCCGTACGAAAGACGTGTCGCGGGCCTTGTCTCGGCCGGAGAGGGCGATGCTGGGTGTGCCTTGTTTTTTGAGCCTCGTTACTTGCTACATGCCAGGGATGTCCGTTCCCCCTTCTGGGTAGTAATAGTACTCCGTTTTATGAGGACGCGATGTTGGCAATAATAGCAGCGGTGCCTTGTGAGGTGCGATACGAGTGGCCTGTCACTGTTCAAATAGCATTCGTATCAAGGTGGTATTCCAATAATAGCAGCTAGCAATACCCGTCGACGGTGCAGTAAGTAGCAACAACTTGACATTTATCACGAATGGAATCTGCCATCAAAAAGCACAAAGTACGAACATACGGTTACATATCACATTACCGGCCGCTATAAAAATCCCTCTTCAGGGCTTCTTTCTTTCAAAGTAGGTACCGTACGGAGTGATCTTGTCCTTTTGTCTTGCACGTCTTCAGTGCATCCGTTCGCAGTCAAAAATATACTACCTAGTCTTACGGAAAATGTCCCTATTCGTGTGAAACAAGCTGCATTTTCGAAGCCTCGAGGTGTGTTGATCTACAAGTTTACACGAACACAACATATTCTGGCCTGTTGCATATGCCGTACGGATAGGTAATAGTACAGGCATCTTACTCCCGTACTTGGGCAATGGGTTACACCTGACTGCTTGCAAACTTGAGAGCGCGACATTTGTCTAAGACACAGCACTCATGATGATGCGTGCCTGCGTCGCCAAATGTCTTGCCTTTGCAGCCTTTTTCACGCTGGTACTACCTCTCCACCTGTGTGAATTCGTTACATGTAGTCTCAGAATCTTTCCCATGAACATCCAATGCATTCAGGCCACCCGGAGAAAGAAAACACACAAAAGACATGCCTGAACCGGTGTATCCACCAACAGGCATGAGAAAGTGTCTGACAGCACATCACTCTCCAAAACCCGCATGCGATTCCCATCTCCATCTCTATCTCCAGCAACAAAGCACCCTCACACACGGCGATAAAAGGCAAAATGAAGAACAAGAAAGTCAATGGCAGGGGGGGTTCAAACCACGCTGCACTGTGAGATACATACATACATGCCCCCCTCCCCTGCACCCTTGCCCTGAGAACCGCGCCCTTGTTTCCCGCTCAGGTTTGCGAACCGGCCTTGCAAAAAAAGACACAACAAAGAGCAAAAAGACAAGCGACCTACCGAAATGAGCCAGGCATCCCCACTCTTTACTCTTGAGCTTTCTTGTTGTGTGAGCTGGGGTGTGTGTTAGGGGTCATTGTCGAGCAGGCGTTATTAGTCATTCTTTTGTGATTTTGATGGGCTTGGGGTTGTTGTTTGATGCTGTGGGCAGTACTATATGTAAAGTTGAGACAAGGCAAAATGAGATCGCCTGTGTAATTTCAACGGCTCATTGAGATCTTGTCAATGCGGGCAACCCGCAATCTTCCACAAAAGTATCACCACCACACATCATCACCATCAGAAACACCACGAGTCAAATCAAATCAAAAGCAAGAGACTCCCAAGACCCCCGTCCAAAACCAAAAATCTTCACCAAGTCCCCATACCTTCACACGTGTCAAAACTTACGGTGTACATGCATCATGCACAGAAGCCTCACAGAAGCCCTCACCACTTTTCTCTCTCTCTCACCGCATCCCGCAAAAAAAAACTTTCAACACCAACGAACCCGCTCTCTCTCTCGTATCTGCCACGAACCCCCATGTCCGCCTCCATCTCTTTCTTTCCCCCCTGGTTCAAGCTACTTTAGCTCCTTCTTTCTCTTCGACTAAGAAGAGCGCTTCTTCTTTTTTCGCTTCCCGTCCCCTGACGCCATCTCGCCTTAAGCCTCTTTTGCTTTCTCTCTATGCCCATTTACAAGTACCTTAACCTCTTGTGGGAACGGCGTCCAACTGTTTCGCATCACCGCCTTTGTGACTCGAGATCTGCCCTCGATGAGAAAAAGTCACTGTACTGTATGGTACAATACCTAGCTTATAAGCATGAATAGAACGATTGACTCCATTTTCGCTTCACCTCGCTTCGTACCTAGTGCAATATCCACGGTCCCCCTGTCGCCACAGAAACACATGAGAAAAAACGCATGATGCTCATTCGACGATCCATCATGCTTGGATGGTTTATCCTCGCTTGCCTCGTACGAGGTCAGTGTATACACGTCTCCATCATCACGTCAACCGAACCCCCGAGGTCTTTGAAATTGAGCGGTAATATACTTTGTATCATGATAATGGTAGTACTAGAAGTATAAGCCACATCTCCCTTGACTCGGCACGGTATAAAGCCACCATCACCAGACCCCAAGACAACGCACGACACGCCCAGATTGCAAGATCCACCGCCAGCCTTCAGCCGCACCTCCGCTCCAACAAACCCCGACGCTAAACAGATCGCCATCTGAATCTCTTGTCCAGACAGTCTAAACTCGGCACGTGTCTCTGCTGCCATGGAGACGCTTGATAGTAGAGCTCTCGGGCTCATCCGCTTCAGCACAGCACGTGGGCC